CGGGTGAGACTTGCGGGAAGGGGAAGTCCAGAGAGTTTCGGCTGGAGCTTCTCATTCATTCCCGCAGCTCACTCAGCGGATATAGTGCCTCAGCCAAAGCTTCATTTCTCCGCTTCTTTCGACGTATTGGGCTTGTTCATGCGTTCGTTCATCGGACGAGCTGGCCTGCAGGCAGGCGAGCGTGCGTGCGGTACTGAAAGAGCGACCAAAGGCAGCTATATCGTACATCCATCTGCAGTTTGGGCTGGGTGCAGGCTAGAGGGGCAGGCAGCTGGTCTCTACACCTGGAGCTGTTGGCCGCACTGCGTGGTATTAACGGCCGGCTAGTGAGCCACCCAGCAGCGGCGTCGGTGGCAGCAGCGGCGCTGAACGAGCAGTCAGCCAGCCAGCCTGGTCCCTTTTTCTAACGGCACAGACGAAAGCGAGCCCCTCGTGATCGTTCGGTTGGAGGAGGGAGCAAAAAATTGTCGATATACCCCCCAGCTTTTCGTCGCCCACTCTCGGCGATGGAAGGATTTTCCCTCCAAGTTGCCATTTCGCCTAGGGCACCCTTCGCTCCGCCGAATTAATTCACCGGTTTCGGCCGTGGAGACTTTTATTTACGACCGAAATGAAGCCAAAAGGGGCAGACTCGCTGTTCGCTTTCGACGTTTGGCTGAGGAAAATTCGACTCAGTCTACACGCAGCATTAATCGAATGCAGATGAGCGGACAGACACGCGGACGCACCGAGTCAGCGAACGACGGAAAGACCGATGCCGACGTACGAACGAATGGACAGACCGACCGACGGAGATGTGATCGACCACAGTCAAGCAAAGTCGTCATCGAAAGCTCGAACTCCACCCGAGGTGAAGGAAGAAGCATCTTGCTTGGGCTTAGAGATCGGGCGTCTCCTTCATCGAGAGACCCTTCATTCTCTTAGCGAAAGGCGTTGCTCTGGTTCGGTATTTTGCTCCCGAGCTCGCTCGCCGCTCCACTCCCTCAGGCATAGAAACAAGAAGCATACTCGCTCCAATGATGACGACGACAACGTAAGAAACGCAGGAGTTCCTGTGTGGCCTGAGTGCGACGTGCTCCGAAGATCTCAGGCCAGATTAACGGCGGTACTCGTAGCAAGGAGTTGGTGTACTCAAGGATATGAACAGTCGTGCTGTTGGAACACCAACGTTCTCTCGAGCTGCTATGCCTGGTCCTTATTCTTTGCATAGTATCTTCATACAACATCCATAAGTCCAAGAGCAAGCAAATCACGCTCTCCTTCTGCAAACGTGGCTGTTCACCAGTAATCTTCGGCGCCGACGTATTTGCTATGGGTTCCTCTCGAACCTCTCGTCGACGTATGTCGCCGCCGCTGCCGCAACTCTGGTGCCGGGCGAAATGTCGGGCCCGCGATAACTGCTCCACTGAATTCTGTCCTGATCCCTCCCGAATGGATTCGCATTAATGGAACTCAGGAGCAAATATATTCGACAATCCTAGGTTTGAATTCGGTCCAGATTTTAAGTGATCTGCACCCACCCCTTACAGCGGCGGCGACGATGACGGCGGCGGCGGCTGCCAGCCATCTGTGTGATTTCTCTATTAGCTCTGCTCCCTATGGCCCTTGAGGCCCGACGAATCAAAAGCTTGGTAGGCGGTGTGTGGAGGGTGCTTCAAGACAGGGCGCCGGTTCTGCGGCCGTAGGAATCCGATCAAGTGTTACACAAATCGAGCGCACCCGCAAGCTGACTCTCTGGCTGGCCGTCCGGCTGGCGTGCCTGCTGATTGACTGACGAACGAATGGACTAATGCTGCGAGACGCAGTGCTGGCGGCGCGTCTCGCGGCGTCTCTGAGCGAATACTATCGCGTCGATCGGGGGCGTACTTGCAGTCGTTTGCACAAGAACTCGGTGAAGGAGCCTGACTCTGACGCGCGGTGTCAGCCGCAGCCCATTGTGCTCTGGCTGTGCGGGGGCAAGCCGGCAGCATACCACGCACTCCACACGCAGGGATTATGACGGCGCTGTGTTGCTGGAACGGAGCTCGCCATGAAAGCGCCTGAAACCACCGCTTCCAGACTTCACCCGAGCAAGCAGCCAGGCGGGTGGCGGGCGAGCGGGCAGAGACAGGCTGTAACGAACACAGCATGCCTTTGAATATCTTCCTATCGCCAACAAGAGCCTCCCGGCCCTTGTAGTCTCAACAATCTGTAACTGATCGGTCCCGAGTCGAGCCTCCTCGCGTAGCCGGATCAGACGCGTTTTCGGGAAATTGTGGATTTTCAGAGATAGACCGAACAGGGGAGATAAGTGGGCTGAACGGAAGACCTCCATCCGGGAGCAAGAGAGTACCTCCGCAACGTAATCGATGGGGAAATCTGTCAAACGTTCACGATGATGTGACGATAAGACCCGTAGTTGAGATCATGACGTGGATGATGGCCTAGTGACTCGAAAAAAAATTCATATAGAATGTTGCGATGGATCGCGCAGCTCGATCAATCGTGAACTCGCGGCTTTCAGCTTAGACTGCGGGAATCTCAGTCGACTCTATTGACAGTAACGGTCCATGTTCGTGAAATCTATCTGTTTCTCTGTAGTCATCCTCGATGCGAACAATAGCTGCTCGATCGTTTCTCGAGACGAGTGTAATCGGTCGGTGTAATTGTGCAGCTGCACCAACTCCAACAAGTCCAGGGTCGGTGTAGCCAGGCGTCCGCTGAGCAAACCATGCTCTACATAGGCATGCTGCTTCAATCGCCGCGGTCGGCCAGGCCACGTTGAAGAGGATCGCCGAGTACTCAGCGGGCCTTCGTTGTTTAGTTCAATAGCTGCTGCGTCGTCCTCGCTTACTTTGTCAAATCTCTTAACAGCTGATCAATCACGCCGTTGTCGACTGCTTTGTTCTTCTTTTTCCCCTGTTCGAACGACTTGTTCAAAGCCTTCATCATGTTCCCCGGAAAAATGGAGGCTACAGCTCTGCCGCTCTTAGGGGCGGACTGACGCTCCAGGAGCGTCTCCAGGAGAATTCCGATCACCGCAGAGATCCGGATTCAGATCTTGCTCTCGATTTAATAACTTGTGCATTAATGCATCCATGTACTCAGTCGAAATCGAATGAACAGTCCTCCAAGTATTCTGCTTTTCCCTGAATGGAATTCAGCCCCGTCTTGCACCCCGTGTACGACATCAGGGAGTCCCGGAATCGCGGAGCATCGAGCCCACCCCTACAAGGGTCTTGAACTCGGTGCCCAGCTCAGGAGCAGGAGTCTTCTCTGAGCATTGTCATCAACGAATGTTGTGATGCTTATGGCACGCAGACTCACTAGTCTCGGAGTCAGTCACTCAATTACCGCCAGAGAAATGGACGGATCGTACGTCGTCAACGTGATTAATTATGAGCACGGGCGTCGCAAGCTGCTGTCGTTCGACCTGTCGCATGCGGAGGGATCGGTTGCGAGACCGAGCGGCTTCCAGCCACTCGGCTGTTCGGGAGACCTTAGTAACCGCCGGCTGGCTAGTTGCCTGGCCGCTCGGCCAGCTGTACCGCATACCGCCTCGCCGTATAGGTTCCTAGGTGGCTGCGGAACCAGTCGCACCTAGACCGTGGGGCGCGCAGGTGGCTGGCGAATTCGGCTTGCAGCTGGCTCTTCTTCCTTTTCTCCTTAGAGGGCCGTCTAATATATTCTCCTTGCCGTGGCGGCAGTTGCAGCAACAGCAGCGGCACCCGTAGCAGCGGTACACTGGCCTCCAACGTCGTCGTCTGGCCGCTGTTGCGACCGGCGCGCATGCAGCTGGCACCGACCCTACCTTCGAGTACAGCTGCGTCGGTTCGTCCATGCTCCAGTGTAGTCTCCGCACTCGCTTGCTTTCCTAGCTCCTCGTTGCAGTTCCCGTCGGCCATCTGTAGGGGCGCGATTAAGCGACATCTGGTCGCATACGCCATACGTAGATCTCGGTGAGCCGATTTCTTTGGCAGCTCTGCGCCTTCCCCAACCGTCGCCTCGGGCCCGAGTCCGAAACCCGGATGCAACTTCTTGTCGTTCTGTCTCGTCGCTGTTCCACATTCCGGGATAAGCTGTATTCGATCACAGAACTCTTTCAGAGCGGCTACCGGCATTCCAAGCCGAATCCTGTAGCCTGGAAAGTCCCGACGACTCCACGCCCCCTCACCCACCGATTCCCTCACGAGGAAAACAGCGAGGGAGAAATCGCAATGGAGATGACGGTGATAGGGAGAAACACCGAGTGATTTCGATCGCGTTCGATACGAAGACAATGCCAAATCCCATTTTTCGCGTCCTCCAATGCCGATATCGATCACGCGTTTCCGATTGCTCGAGAACCGGGGCATACCGTGCTCCGGTTTCGCTATGTGTGTATACCGATTCTCCTACTAATACTCCGCATAGGGAAGATATTATACAGGAAGCTCGAACAAGTACCCATGATTCCTGAGGCGTCAGAGTTCTTACCGTGTACCCGCCCGACGCTTAAGCTCCGTCACGTCGATTGCGGAGTATTGAGCGCAGGACATTCTCGTCCTGCCAATCACAGATTCCCCTGCAGCGACCTCTAAGACCATGTGGGAGAAAGTTTTCAAATGAGAAAGCCGAGATCGGGAAAAGAGGCAAGAGAGAGAGAAAGAGCCACATGTGTTCGTTGGCTGTCATTCCGTGTTGTTGGCATTGGAGGATAAGAGGGGGGAAAGGGGTCAGCGAGCCGCCGACACCGAGTCGCAGGCAGGCGGGTAAGCAAACGGGTGGGCAGGCGGGCAGGCGGGCAGGCGAACAGGCGAACAGGCGGGCGGGCGTCTGTACTGAAAGGCAAACCAGCTGGCGAACTACCGAGCTGAGGCAAGTGAGGGAGGTAAGAAGTGGGAGAAGGGAATCTCTTTCCCACATCGCGACCAGCTGTTCTTCTATTCTTTGGCTGTCACGGACAGACGCTGCGAGAGACCGAGAGTGAACGGAGCGAACAGCCTAGCTCTCCGATCGGCGACGTGTGGTGTCCGTGTCTGCCTATCTATCTAGCTATTCATCCGTCTGCCGTCGGGCCCGCTAGCCAGTGTTTGTGGTTTCTGCGTTTGTGGCTATGCTGCCTCTGCGTCCATCCGGTACTCAATCAGCGTTGGCCCAGCATTCATCCGGCGATCGGCGGTCGTGAGCTCGGACTCAACAAAGATTCGGAATTTCGAGGTGTCCCCGTCATCCGAGACAAGTCATTCCTTCCCCGAAATATAGGTGTGATTCGATCGCATCGCAAATGAGTACGGCCTGAACGGAGAAAAAAAATATCCGTCGCCGCAACAGTTTCGTTTCTTGTGAACACTGAAGGCGCGAACCGGCACTCTGAAAGAGAAGTCAAGGTGGACCTTAGTAGCAAAAGGTATGTTCTGAGACACTCGTGGATTCGTATGAGCATTAGTGGAGCCCCTTGAATCACAAGGAGATGATTTAAATAATTGACAGAAATCGAAAAATATAATGTCGTCTCACCTCTGAGAACTTTTTGGGGAAGTACTCTGCTCGGGAACGAGTTGGGAAGAGACTGAACCGTCCGTGCGTAGATCGGCGACGACTGCCAGAGTATCAGGAGCGATTCATTGAGAAAGATTTCTTTGAGAGAAAATCGCATTTTGAACTCCAGACAGGTCACGTATATCATAGATTTCGGTTTGATGCGCGAGAATATTTCGGAATCGGGGCGTCAAGTCTCAGGGAATCTAGAGTTCGATTGTCATACCCGGAGCTCCAAGCCGCGCTGAGTTCCGGGAGTTCCGCAAATCTCCCACGACGTGCTCTCGATTGGATTCCGATGTTCATATCTAAACAGGAGAAAGATCCGACCGAGCAGCGAAGGGAGTCCTCAGGTCCTCCAGTCCCTCACGCTCCATCGTTTTTCGCATTCCTTGGATGAGGCAATGATCGGTGGTGGGAGGAACACCTGACATCGCCTGAAATTCATTCCTGCCTGGAGTATCCGAATATGGATCCGGACAGGTTCTGGAACGCGGTGGGTGAGAGGGAAGCTGACACACCACTCGACCATGAAAGCATCAATGGTTTCCATCTGGACAGTTATTTGAGCGAAATGTTAGCTTCGGCAAAGAACCAGCTCAAGGGAGATACAGCCAGACCGTTCAACCAGGCAGCAGGCAACTCAAGAACCCCTTCGAGCGTATGGAAACCATCTGGTTTTGCGGTACGGCCTCAGATGTGAACCATGTGGCTGCCTAACGTTAGCTCGAGCGAGATCAACACGACCGCCTCCCTACGCTTGTTTTCGACTATCTTCCCTCTCGATCAGGAAAAACTTCTTCTAGCGATACGCTCATCATGTTTCCCGCTCTGCACCCCTTCCGAATGATTCGCAAGCCGCTGTCACTCTGCGGACTGTCCAGAAACGGGCATGCGATCGCCGACGACGTGTACGATCAGTGCCGATCATTTTCGGAGGAAAATTGTTCGGGTTAACAATAATTAGAATTTGTAAGGACCGAATATGACAGATCCAAGCGGGGAATCGATCGGGCCTCGATGCAGACACTTCACTGAGGAAAAAGCCCAAGTATTTCCGCAGTGATGGGAAAAAGAGGAAAGATGCTTGCTCAGGGATTCCCTCCTCTACGAATTCCCAATTAGTCGGCCGGGGCGGTTCGAGCTGGGGCCAAGAGCTCACGGTTTGCCTTTGAATTTGCCATATCGAACGACTGGCGGCGGCCGCGGCTGCCACCGGAGGCAGGGCGGCCAGCGAGCAGGCTGGCAAGCATCGACAAGATGTAGAACAGATGTTCCAAAACGGCACATGCTCTAGAGGGACTCCGATTCTGTTAAAGTCTACCGCGACTTATTTCTCGGACGGCCTTTATATCTATGTAGGAATAAACATCCCAGCGCGCAAAATCGCCCAAAAGTTCAGTTACACATGTCGCTTGCCTCGAGCATAAGCTCAGCTTGACATCGATAATTCAAGTGTTCAGCTGATGCGAGCGACATGATTCGGCGCTACGCGGGCGGGCGAGCCAAATAGAGGAACGGATGCGTAATGGAGCACGGGGGAATCTCAACGAAATTATCACGAGTGAGAGCTTTGCGGGCGAGCTTGAATCCAAATTATCGGTGAACTTCAACCTAATAATCATTATGATAATGATGATATAATAATAATGATAATCTTCATCAGTGAACTTTGAAGGGGTTGGGGGTGGATACTTTCTTCGCCACATCCTTGAGTCGATATCAGAGGAAGTTGAGAGCGTGAGAACGACATCGAAGTCACACAGATGGATTCCCTCTATTCAGGGCAAGGAAAATGCACGGCCAACGATGCTCTCTATAAATCGTAAGCGGGCGGTACGACGGCGGATCCGTCTCTGTTCTCGGAGCGAAGATCAGCCAAGAGACTTGCCACGATCGGAGTGCTTAGCCATTCTGAATCGAGTGACTCCCGGTTCCCCCTTAGTCCGCCGAATCGTCGACTATACTCCTGAGAGGGGAAACTTCTGGATTTGCGGTGCATGCAGAAGCGTCCGCACATCTGTTAGGTTGCAAGTTGGCAGTTCAATTTGACCGACGAAACCGTGATTCTGCTGATGCCGTTGCGGTGGCTGCTGCTTTTGTTGGGACTCGTAATTCGTCATGTTTTGAATGATAAATAGCCTGAGAGAATCCTAATGGAGTCATAACAGCTTTCCTTCTGACACTGTTTGTGTGGAGATTATCTGCAGCTGCGTGAAGGTGTCGAGCTAATCTGCCTCGATTGACTGAGCGTGCGCTTGTGCTTGTACTTGCAATGATGATTGTCTGATTGTGAGAGCAAACCGAAGCTGAGCCGTTGGAGGATTGTGAACAGGAAGCGGCGCTTTGCTAGAAACACACCAGACCGACATATCGTTCATTGCATCTCTCCGAGCCAATGATCGCTCCCGACCCTTCCAGCCGGAGCCTACATTGCATTAACACAAAACGGGATGAGGACGATACGTCTGCAGAACAATGGAGCTCAGCGGGAGGTTGGACGTCTGCCGTCAAGAGCTCCGTATCCCGCAGAAGAACTCCCGGAGTGAGTTTTTAATTGCGCGAGGAGCTCGTTCTCACTCACCGTCCCTTTTGTGAGATTCTCCTCTCAAGGAGCAGGCGGACGGATCGACGGGCTCGGGGCTGTGCGGGGGGACACGATTGAATATTTATCACAACAGACGACTGAGAGTGTCATGCACGCTGCTGGCCGCGCACCCAGGTGGCATCGACGCTGAACTGAGAGAGCCTCGGGTCACGATTCCCACGTACACTCTTTTCGAAAGGCGACGCGGCTGCAATGTCCGGTCCTGACATCCTCGGAATATTGTGGAAGTGAGTTCAACCCCTAACTTACTTCCCGCCTCACCTCCCTCGAGCGGCTTTGATAAATTCCCCGATCCTTTCCGTTCCATCATCATGGTTGGCATGACGCCGAAGGAAAAACGTGCCGGACGGACTCACCATCGGGCACTCAATGAAAGATCGGTCCCGTTGAATTCATTTTACATATGTAACGATCAACGATCATATCAACGATCACGTGAGATTCCGCGCGAGAACACTCATCATTGATCGATACTCCCGGAGGACACCCCTCTGCTTCGAGCAGAGACCTCCCCGTGGACGCTCTCGAGAGAAAAATTGAGCAAATGTTGTCAGCGAATCTGACCCTTCCCAGAAGCCTCCTGGATATTCACGAGTACGTGTTCTTCGGGATGGATGGGGACACGAGGGAGAAGCTTTGAAATTTAATTCCTGCTCATCCTGTATGTACGCTGTCGGGGAAAAAGTTGATGATTTTCTTCCCGTGAGGCCAGGCGGAGCAAAACGACTTCGGCGGTCCCGTCGTTGCCGTACACTTCCTCTCCGCGTCGACGATGGTGGTGGTCTGCAGATGGCGAAACGGAGAAGAAGACGAAGAGGAACGAGGGCAAATCTTCAAGCTGCGGCCTCGAAGGCCAAGAACACCTGCTGCCGCCGCCGCTTCAGCCGCCGCCGCTGCCACCATCACCACTGCCAACCATTCAGCCAAGCAAGCAGCAGCAGCGGTGTCCCGATCTCTAGCGATCCCCGTCCCCCCTTCAGATGCGCAGCTGGCCTGTGCGAGGCCCTCAACCACATCTGGATCGCCCCGCACACAGCCCGCTCGGTCGCTTGCCTGCCTGAAAGCCAGCCAGCCAGCCGGCCAGCCCTGGGCCAACAGCTGCACCCGCTCGCCCGCTGTCGAGCCCCCGAGAAACCCGCCCCTGCAGCAGACTCCCCCCTCTCACAGCCGTCTCAGCTTGCCAGTTCGCCTGCTTGCTTGCCCACTCACTCGTTCACACGAGCACTTACAAGCAAGCGAGAAATGGCAACACCGGGGCTGCGCGACTAATTGTCGATCTTCCACCCAAAGTCTGTCTGGCGGCGTGGGAACGCTCCTCGGTGGAATGCTCCCCTCACGAGGAACCTACATACGTCTCAAGCCCCTCAATCGGACACCTGTTCCCTAGAGATCGCACACGACATGAAGAGGGAGACAGGCAGATGCGTTACGGATACCTTCGTATGCACAAATGATGCCAATAGGCCGCTCGGAATTCGTGTCTTCAGACTCGGAAACGCTCCATCTCGACTTCTTTTTCCCATGCCGTTCGCGCCACGGCTCAACAGGTCGCGTGCTTCGGTGATCACTAGGCGATGACCTAGCGATCATGATTCAATCGCATCACAGTACTTGTTTGGGTCAAGGCGAGGAAATTAATGCTGCCCCGGGCGCGATATTGGAGAGAGAGACTTCACCCCCCTTCTCTCTTCCTCCTTCATGACGCCAGCTCCATACCAGCTTACCGAAAATGCACTCTCCCTCCCTGGAAAACTCGAGACAGTTCAAGGGGACAGCAAGAGGAGCAGCGCGATCTCCCTAAACATCCGGGAGGATAGAAGCGGCCCTGCAGCCCCGCTCCAGCGAGAAGGAACCTTAAGCAGCGTCTAGAATGTGCGTTGCAGGCTCAGAAGAAGATATAAAGGGCGAAATGTATACTTATCGCGGTTCATGAGAATCAGGCGCTATTCCTTTCTTTCGGGGTCGCGTTGGCCCGTCTTGCATTTTGTTCTCACAAAGCCGCCGATTGTCAAATTGCATCGTCCCGCAGTCAACTGCCCCTGCCTGAGCCCCGATCTCGTGCTGGCTTCTCGTGTATATGAAGACGGTGTTTGGAACTACCGCAAGTGGCGACTCCCTGCCTGCGTAGCATACGCTTGATGTTTCGACCAGGATCCTCTGCAGCATATCAATCTCTCGGGTTCCGAACTTCCAGCCTGAGATTGTAGATATGTAGGTCATTGCTGAGTCGCACGTCCTTCAGACGCTGTCTTTGCCTGGCATGCGAAGTAGGCGTCGAAGCAGCGAGCTGATCGTATCGAACCGAAATGTGTTGATGTGGGTGGGTCCCGCATATTACTCGCTGTCAGCGCATCGAGGAAACGGGAATATAGGTCGTCCGACCTGCTCGATGACGGGAAATTTCGCGTTGGAAAAAAACGCGATAGACTCGCTCGAGTCTCTGAGGTTCAGTTTCATAATTGATTTAATTCCGGACCGGCGAGTTCCCTCGAATCACTTCCGGCTAGCAAGTCGCGCAACACTAAACTGAGTGCATTGCGTTCCGGACAACACTTGTGTGACCAGAGACAACACGGTGTTTAGATGAATTCCGACACGAGCTCTGCGAGAGGCGACCATGGGCTTGAGGCGGGTCGGCGCGCGAGATATTGATTTGCGTGACAGCTCTCCCAGGATAAATGTATTCGTTCCGGGAATCGAGATCATCGTTCGAGAGGTGCCGCTATACGTCCCCCGCCCGCCGGACAGGGACCCCCTCGATGAATCCAGCGAATGCCCGTCTTGCGTCTGTCTGTGACGGCTGACGGAGTCTGGAGTTCACCAGACCAGTCCAGACGCCGGGTGTAATGTCGGGCAGAAGCCCTACTGCGTCTGGGTGGGATTGTTGGTGGGCCATCGCGACGACCGTTCTCAAACGGGGAAAAGACCGGGAATCCCGCTGGTCTCCCGCGAACAGACCCGGCGGATAGAAAGGAAAGCGGACGGAATCGCAAAGGTAATATTCGCGGTTTAGCAAGTGCCTCCGCCGCTCTCAGGGGTCCGAACACACGTCTACGACTACAAGAGCACCAGATCTCAGAGCGAGAAAGAAATACTCCTTTCGATGCTGAGCGGGAAGATCCTTTGCTTCTGCGAGGCTTGCAGCAATGATTGCCCATACACATCAGAAGCATAAGGAACTACGCAACCTGCCTTTGCGTCGCCCGCGCGAGAAATCATCTACCCTGATAACTTCCCATCCGGAAATATCTAGGTACGAGGAGATATTATCTCTCCTCTCTGTGAATTGAGATCCCCATTTGGACGCGATGTCAGAAATAAGCACGGCGCTGGCGTATCAGCGTATTTTAACATATCTATAGGTAAATCTTTTCTCGCATTCGACGCGCCAGCTGCATGTGGGCTACATTCAGAGGCGTGGTAGCGGAGATCATCATGCGCACTTATTCGATGCCTCCCGTGTATGGCAGCTGTGATTCTGGCCTATCGGAGCTCATAAGTTCGTCGATCTATCCACCTAATCACAGCCATAGCTCTGCTGTCCTGAATACGCATCGAGCAAGTGTGACAACGCGCTTTCATACTTCTCCGTTCTTTACAGACCTAGCATGCCCGATGCCACCGCTAGCGAGGGGGGTGAACAGCGAGCGAGTCAGGTGCCCAGATCCCCCCAGGTCACACCCGCAAACAATTCTCCATCACGAGGTGAGAGATTTTGGGTCCGAGCTCGATTCCCTCGACCTCCCCGAATATCGCGCCGGCAAAACTGAGCCGATGCTGAATTGCGAGACTCGCGAAGTCCAAATATCCTGAGGGATGAAGGTGTGGAGACTAATCGAGTGGAGATCGATTCGTTATTCGGATCTTTGAGCTTCTCGGCAATCTGAACTTCCCGTCTCGCTTCCTTGTTTAAATCAGACCCTCCGTGAGATTGTGCCAGTTAAATCGGAATAAAAGTGTTTCCGAATCCATTAGCTTCGAAGCTAGCTGCGACGTTCGAACGAAACTAGCTTCTCGAAAACAGCTGGCGACCAGATGGGTTGTCTCCAGGAGCTACGCGTGTTTCAGATTGAATTCTGACCTCTCCGTTCTCAGTGATGACATCCCAAGAGAATAGAGAAGGCGCTTACTTACAGAGGCAACGAATTTGCATGCAGCCTTCGGAGTTGATTCTCCCCGAAGTAGCTCAAATATCTCTCAATGCGGAATACGAAGTGGTAACACGAGAAGCTGCTCTGAGAGAAATCTCAACACGGAGAACGATTGATTTGAGCTCGTTTGGCAGCGAACTCTCTTAGCGGCAAAAGCTCAGAAGCTCAATAAGAAATATAATTATATAATGAGGACTTTATTTATTTTCCACCTGCGGATATTCGATGCACAGAAATATGGTAGTGTACATATGTAAGCAGTGCTTGTCCTATCCATTCACTGGACATACTTGGTGCTTACTTTAGTTTCTTGAACTCCTCAGGTCGGTCACCGTCTCCGGAGCGGGCCAGCAGCCAACGGATGGAAAGCAATCGAACGTCCCCCAGCTCTACATCGGATTCTCCACCGACTGCGGCGGACACGACCCTTCAGCAACGGGTGCAGAAGATTCGGAGAGTTTTCACAATCATAAGGAATTTCTGCGCCGATGTCTCTCAACAAAGCGGCGAAGCGATGACTAAACTCCTTTGCTCCGTTGTGGTGAGGGATCTCTTCCCCCTTTTATCTCTCGATGAGATGAGTATCGGATTCTCTTTTCGTCTCCCTGTCTCTCTACGGTATCGTCGATCGAATTTCCTGGATCAGGAAATTGAGATCATGAGCAGCTCCTGAATCCTCGATGCCCACGCGGAAGGGTTCTCCCTGGAAACCTGTAGGGACGCGGGCGTGCAGACCTCGCATTCGAGTCAAGCACATATCGACGATGGCTCCGTCCGTCGCTCGATTATTACCCTGAGACCGCTCATTCCATGAACGGCGGTGAAGACAACAACTATAGTGTCAGTGAAGCCGATTCTCATTGTGACTGCACGCTCCAGATGGCTTTTCGCACCAGCTGGTGTCGATCGATCCGCCGGCGCCACGAGCTGAGTCAGCTTAATTTTCGTGTTCGTTGTTCCAGTGTGCGACGGTCTCGTTGGAGGACTTCCGAGTCAAGGTTGCCGAGTTGACAGGTTTGCACCTGAAAGCCTTCGTGATACCATTTCTGCGAGCGAATCTCCCCGTCATGCAGAACCAGCTCCTTGTGCAAGCGAAGTCGGCCAAGTTGAACACGCTCGAATTCCTCTCCAACCACAGCGAGTTTCTCGTCGATCCGGCAATCAATGGAGAGCCCTTCGAGATCTTCGAGCAATTACCGCCTAGGAAACGACTCTACACCGACATGTCAGTGTGTGCACCATTAAGGGAAAAAATACCGGAGCATTAAAATTCTTGAGACCTACTACGAGCTGCTGCATAAATCGAGATTAGTGAGTCCCTGAAATTCTCCACAGACATCGACCGTCGAGTGCAGAACCGACAAACAAGCGACCGAATCGGTCAGAAGAGGACTTGGAACTTTTCGATGGATCTCATGTAGAAGAAGCCTTGCAGAATGTCAATCAGGTGAGATCCACCGTACATCCCGTAAGTTTGGATACTCCGAGCCGCAAAATGGAAACGGGAGCCGCTGATTGCAATCCATGCATCCTTAAGGGCGGAAAAGTCAGGCGGAAATCTGAGTTCATTCAGTATGTTGGGGTCTGGAGCGGAGCGATGAACTTGCGTAAACCCGGAGCTCCGCTGAAATTCTCTACATTCATTGCAGATGCTAGATTGCATCCTGGCCATGGTTGACAAGACGAAGAAGACGCTATCGCTCCTTCAGAAACGGCCCGATCCCCTATGGAATCTTCGCATGCCGTTGGAGCTGGAGATAAAACGGCGGGTCACCCCGCCAACAATTCCGCATTTCGACATCGGTCTGCTCGACGTGCGTCGGAGAACTGGTACTGCTTCAGCTCGAATCCTCTCGCAGACAATCTCTGTGAAAAGAAGAGAGTTCGTCCTTTCCGCGAAACTTCGATTGATTCGCGGAATTCTTGCAGCCCCTGATAGCAGTGTTGTGACTGAATGCATATTTTCCAGAAGAAGCCGTCCAGGAAGTTCGACGACAAGCGATGCTCGAGCTGGAGAAAGCAGTCACCGCCGCGGAATCGCGGGCAAGTCAGATGATCGCTATGGAGAGGACTAAATTGGAAACCATGATCTTGGAAGCGAAACGACAAGCACAGCAGGAAGTGCTGACGAGACTGAACAAGCACGAACCGACAACTAACGACTCTATGTTGGTGAGTTTCCACCCTTATCCGCCATTATTCTTCGAGTGCTTAAACGACTGATTTTGCCTGATTCCGTGTCATCGAGTCTGATCATAAGCCGCGTCTGTGATATCGGACATCGCCCCTCAGAACTGTTGGAACTGCGGTCGCAAGGCGAACGATACCTGTAGCGGATGTGGACTCGCGCGATACTGCGGCGCTTTCTGTCAGCATCGACACTGGGAATCTCACCACAAGGTGTGCAAGGCATTGCATTTGAGTCGGGAGGCCCCGGAAGCCCTGCGACTCAAAGAGGAACGGGCAGAAGAGGTACCTTAAGTGAGTAGTCGATATCAATGCGAAACCATCCGTGCATCGAATACTGACATTGCTTTCCATCGCTTCATAGGCTGTCCCGATGCATCTATCCTTCTTCTGCTCCGATCGATCGGGAGAATATTCATCCAGGGGTGTTTCACTGTTTCAGGCTGAAATCAGCGGAGGTGGCTCGATATCTGCCAATCGAAATCCTGTTGTATTTTCTGTATGAATGCTGAAGGGTGCAGAAGCTATTTGAAGGGATAACGGGTAGTCGGAGCTCGGAGAGTTGAGCCACGCTACTAATTATCAGTGCAATACCAAGAGGCAACCGTCATCCTGTATCTAGTCCATTTAATGCAGCTGCCATATAGAGAACCCACGGACGAGAGGCAAGGAACAACAGCGTTCCATTGTGATAACGATGAGTATACTATGGAGAAGCAAGGAAATAAACATTTTATGTTGCTCCGTCTAAGGAAGCGATTTAGTCATCGATATTGGGAGCGAATACATATGGATGTTCGATGTGCTTCTGTCTCACGGTGAGCTTGAACTCGCTCATGCCGGCAACGGATAGCTCTTTAATTGGGCGATAGCATAAGATAATGATTGTCATGCAACCACCCGAGAGCGCAGATCAGACGTAATACTTCGCGTATCAAATAAGAGGTGATGGAATGAAAGGGAGCTACCTGGAAATTGGCGGAATGTCAATCGTCAACCGAAACATTGATACGAGGACTCGCGTGACACCCATAATTATCAATTGTTAGCTACAGCCTTGTCGCCGGAGAGGGGGGAACAATCACTAATTCCCAGTGTCGACAAGCGTACGGGAAGTAAGGTAGAAATTCGAGGTTTACGGGCGCTGCTGCGGCAGCCGGATCAATGCTGAGCTCGACGGGAAATTTCCTGTATCGGATGCAATCGCATGCAATATCATTTTCCGGAGCGCTACGACCTTCTGGGGCTTCCTATCGGTTGGAGTGCCCCCATATTATCATCACGCCGAGCGGCTCATCCCTGGATGTTGTGCTCTATGACTGCTGATCATTTCATTGTTCAATTAGCTAATTCCGGAACGACTGAAATGAAGGAACTCATAAAATGCAGCTCCTGTTACGACACCGGAGCGATCAGACTGCCAACGAGCTCGTCTAGCAACGCTGCAAGGGGTTTCTTTCGCGGAAAATTCAGTTTGAGGAACTCAAATAGACGAGCGAAGAAATCAGGGTCTGACGAGTCGATACGAATAACTCGTGAATTGCGGGGGGTACAGCGGGCGCATGAAAGCTCCGCATGCATCAGTCAATCAACTCATGACTCTGGCCGCCAACTATGATATGATCGAGCCTTTCTCCTGGGGCAAACAGAACGATGACTAATCACTCAAGAGGGTATTTTCTCGCTGAAAGCAGCCAGAAGAGTGGATTCTTCCTAGATTCTCGATCTGACGGGTTTTGGGCTCAATGAGAATGACGGAACATATCTGCGAAGTCATTGAAAGTCGCGGGGTGTCCATCTATGACCTTCCTTCAATGGTAAAGTGTGAATTGAACTGAATCGAATCTGACCTATTCTTGGAGAACTAGCTAAAGCATCGTGATTATTCCGCTGCGGAGGGCTCTTAAGTCACGAATTCATGTCCGACCTTAGGGGAACAACTTCACGGCGCGAAATGGGACGAGGCCCTCCGCGATTGAACGATCGACTCCACTCGAACGTCTTCAGTGCCTTGGAGCGAAGCACTACTCCAGACGTTCCAGAGAGCTCAAGCACCTATGGATTGCGCAGGCGATGAGCTCCCCAAGTCTTGAAGTCGGAGCATCTCCTGCGCATACATACTTCTCGATTGCTAGGACCCCTCTCAATCTCTGATTGTGTAATCGAAGAGGTGAACCTTCCTCTTATAGGACCAAAGCTCCTCCCCCACTCCCGAGTCAAATGGGAGATATCTCCGCTGCTACATTCGAGTTTCACGAGGGGAAGTCATGCATCAGCGGCACATCTGGCATCTTTTCTCTACGTCGCGGCACTGCGAGCTCTCCTGTCGCCCGTGCCACCTTGCCGATTTCGTTTCCGACTTCTTCACTCTTCTGGTCGGAAGCCGCGAAGTACTATCCACCGACATCTCTGGGTCCCTGCTCCCAGGCTGCGTAGGAGCCGGTCTGCCGGAGATTCCTGGAGTGATGTTTTCTATACTCAGACATATCCCTTTGGAGCGATTGAGAACCATCGGCAATAGAGGAGAGAACGACCTGGCCCGTGTCTCTGAGAATCCTACATGAATCAGGCTTGGAAGTCCAACATTCGGGCGCGGGATTGCGACCCTGCGTTGGCGGGGCTGAGGCTCTAGAGCACCGCTGGGAACACGATTCTTTCTTCCGGTCGCATGCAGGGGCTTCGGACAGGATTCCCGGACGTTCCCCCTCAGACCTGACTCAATTGATTGCTCGAAATGTTCGGGTAGTTGATACAACCAGTTGCCGCGGGAGTTTTCGGGCGGAAGGCGTCTCGATGGGACCTCCTCTACGACGACCCACGATAGATCGAGGTCGATTCGCCCCGTGTGTCCGGATGGATGGATGGTTTATTGACCCTCTCTGATTATATCTCATGTGTCTCTAGCAGGTCGATTCATTTGATATCCTTCTCCGGTTCCGGTGGTAGTCCTCCTCGGTTCCCATTCCTCTAGTAGCGCTTCAGTCCTCGTGATCATCCTCGGCACGCTGTCTTCATGTTGCCCTAGTATGCACGACGTATTCGGCCTCCGGCGGGCTGTCACATTCGAATATCACTTGTTCCAGAGTTTCCTCGGCCTTGCCACATCTTTGGCAGGTTGGATCGATGTTCTTGCAGCGTGACCGATATTTCCTGGTCTGCAAGCCTCCTGCTCTCGCATTCGCAAGGAGGCGACTGCCTTGCGTGTTATCGTATAGGTTCTCGATAGTGCCCCTCGCAGTCTTGAAACTCTTGTATCTGTCTAAGGTGGTTTTACCTGACATTCCGTCCAGCCAATCTGAGTCTAGTTCGGCTCGCGTTGATTCTACTACATATTTCTTGTAGGTTGCCCGGCTTATCCGTTTATTCCTGGTCGGCAATTGCCAGGGCTCCTGACAGTTAAATTTCCACAGAAAGGACTGACGGGCTCATCGTCTGTGATAATTATTGAGCGGATCTCGATCGGGATGAATCCAGAGAGATGAATCATTAGTAAAGGCTTATCTCCCAAATCAGCGGCCTATCGCGGCGGCTGAGAGAGATCACAAAATTAACGTACACACGGGCGGAGATCCTGGGTTTTCGAAACAGACAGCGATTCTCCGCCTCCCCATCATGAAGCGCAATGTAATAATGGGGATGCATTCTTAAGGAGAAGGATATCCGCGTTGCGGAGGGAGCGAGATAATAGAGTTACATCATCACGGAGGTGCATGTGCGCCCCGATATCCGAATGAGGTTCAAACTCTGACAAGTCGATTTCGGGACAATCACACCGCCTTGTGGACGGGAGGTGAAAATAGTCGACGAACCTCATAGCGGTCAGAATGCTCGGGTACAAAATTAGGATACAATTGATGGAGCGGCTCCTGGTAGATAGACGGGAAAGGAGGACCCGCCGGAATCGGTCACATATCGATCGTCATTGTTGCTGAGAATTCATGTATTATGGTTGGAATCGATCGAGTGGACTCGAAAAGTCCTGAGGCAATCAGCACAAACTGATTCAGAATCACTCCTCGTTCTCTGTGGAGCTTCCGTCAATATGTCGACCTCGCGGAGAGTTCCCTGGAATCAAGTCGAGTACGAGCCATCGCCGTTAGCGTAATGAAGCGGCGTCAAATCCGTGGCCCTCGGGCCGCATGTGGCCCGCGAGGTCTTTTTTTGTGGCCCGCCACTATTTCCCCACATACTTGAAGCCGACGACCATTTCGAATGAGTGCTTAGTAATTAAATGAGATCGGTGGAATGAGTCCCTCCGTCCCTCCCAGACCTCCAAAACAGACGAGTTTTCCTCCGATTCCCGGTGGGGTGGAAAAGCATACCTCCATATACGATAGGCATACACGAATTCTCCTTTTTCTACGAAAGTAAATTTTTAATGTGGTCCGCCGGCACATGCGGCGCTCGAATGTGGCCCGCCAAAAATTTAAGTCCGACAACTCTGGTGTAATGGAAGGAACATAATACAGGCCATTGAGTCGCACCTCGTCGAAAGTTCCTTTAATTCCAATACCGGACAGCTGTTTAGATTTCTGTCATCCGGGGTCTCGCGTTTACAGCAAAGGCCGACGGCTGCGGACAACCCTATAATATTCATAAAGCATAGTTTCGCTTCGCGTAGGCTCCGATACAGCCGCAGCTCAGGAAAAGGCAAATCGCGATTCCTAGAAACAAGAGAAACGCATCGAATGTGCTAGTTTCCTCCGCAGCAGCGCCTGACACCATGGACAATACGAACAGGGCAACAGCTGATAAGCTGCTGCAGCTCAGTTTGTCCATCACGATCCTGCGGAAGATAGAGGCGAGGATAAGCGAGGATCATAGCTCATCTCTGACTCGAATATGTATTCAGATTCATATTCTCGGAGTCGAATGATGGCCAACTGTCCCGAGAACATCCCTTGGGAATCTTCATCATTCGAGTGTTCCAAAGCCATTCAGATGAGGTTTCGGAATGAATATTGGAGGTCACGCTGATACCTGGACTCGATGGTATTTTCACGCGACTTCGGAAACGATAATAACTGACAGATTCCGCTCAAATCATCGAAAAGGACTCGATCATGCTGAAGGTTCGTATTGAAGGAATCTGGCGCACAATCGCCGCACACGTCGCTACGGAGTACTCGAGTACTGTTTGTGTGCGCATTGATCGCGGCGGAAACGACAGGAAAGAGGAGGGAGCACCAGATAATTGCTGATGGAAATGCACCGAGTCGGTGAAAAAAAAAAGCTCCACAAGAAGCAGACGAAATTTCGTAGTACTTGGTGGTCTGCAAGTGTGGTGGAGCAAGGGACTAGGGCAGGCGGCAGCACGACAAACAACAACCACAGAGCTCCGGCGGACGCTCCCGATCCGCGCGGGAGGGAGCATGTATTTAGACGCCTCTGTCAGACTGCGGAATCCACAGAGAGCCGAGGAATCGATTGGGTCTGACTTTCCTCAATCAGCATTGAGATCCCCAGCTGTCCGATGAATAGATTCCTCTTTGAAATTATAATTTAATGATCAGGTTGCTCTCTCGTTCTGTGCTTTCCTGATCGAAAGGTTCAGGACCGGGAGCGCGCCGGGGCACGGGAATTGTCACCCAGACGAGAGCTTCTGAAGATTCCTCGTCCGGGAGCGAGAAAGCTTTCATACGTTCATGATTGACGCACTACCGACGGCACAGCTGTGACCGTTCTGTCAACTTCGATTTCTCAATGAAGAATCAGCCACAAATCATAGGCCATTGAAAGCCATGAGTCATCACTGAATCTTATTTACAACGGATTGTGATGTACTCGGAGAATGGCACCGCAGTCTGCAAGACCAGGGGTTTCTTCAGTTATGCTTCGAAGGTGACCATGGCGGGTAGCTCGGGATTAAAGAAAAATCGCGCTCCCCCGAACGCGCAGAACTCCGCATCAGCATCGGCATCGCGTCGCCGGAACTCGGTGCAGGAGAGGAAAATACGATCATTGCCGCCAAGCCCGCTCGATCTCGAGTGACGAGCAAAGATCATTCCCATAAGGACTCCTGATCGTGAGAGGCCTGGCTCTTTCTTCTCATGAGCCACTCCGTCTGAGGAGAGACTTGTCTGCGATCTAGAGAATCGGGCAAGCATACTACTGCGAGGGCTGAGTTCCAAAGCATTCCATGGATTGAGAAAACTCTCCCCGTTGCTTCGCCGCTACGCTGTCTCCGAAACTCCGAACATCTGTTTGATTACTGTAAACAGAATGATGACGCGCCTATCAGCTGTGCCGAAGCTGCGCAGTCCGTCCCCTCCTCCCTCCTCTAGAAGCGAGTGAGCGAACCAGACAGCCAGCCAGCCAGCGAAATAGCAAGCAACAAGGAGTTGAGGACTCACTAGTCTCAGGTAACGGTCTGGAGCTGCTCGGAGTTCGGAGATGATCTACTCAACCGCCGGAACTCAGTGGTGACGATGTCCCCGATGATTGAGATGGGAGAACATCGCCAGGGGCGGAAACGGAGTGTGTCTCCCACCCCGGAGACGGAGCTACGATCCCATCCCCTCAGCAACGGGTATACCAATCATGTTCTGGACCCAACAATAGCCCCTGTTGCTGAGAACCTCATCAACAAAATGTTACCCAAAGAGCTCTTGTTGAAAGTGTTCTCGTTCCTTGACATCGTCACTCTATGCAGGTGAGTGATCATCAAATGCTTCTCGGAGCGTCCGCTGTGTCGATGGCTTGGCTTCCGATTTTTCGCACTATTCGGTGTCGGAGCTTCTCCGGACTCCGACTCCATGGTATGGGGAGATCTCGTGGTGGTCTTTGTTCTGAGGCTGCTGACATGTTTCAGTCGGAAACCTGTGCGGAAATTTCTCAGCCCCGAGCGGCCTGTTTGCCCCGTTCCTTCTTCCCTGATTCCTCGAAATTCCGTCGTTCCTCCTGGCATTAATTAGATTCATAATTCAGCATGGGATTTCGTGCGGAATTCGGTCGCAAGTTCCATCGAGTCCGGAGAATCCGAAATGAATTCTTCCTTTTTCTCATCAATCGCTACTGCGACTGATCTCTCCGAAGAGCCTTCCGTTTTGAGTTTGTAGGATTCACCACCGCTCTCGTTTCTGGAATCGCCGGCAGGACGTTTCCGTTCTCTACGAGATCGACTGGAAGGGAGGCTTAGAATAGATGCTTCTATTCCTTCGAGTTCTGGAGTGGATTCCGTAGGATCGGGATCGAGGTCTCAGCCTTTGTTCGATTCCTGAAAATCTCAAGCAGGCGCATGAAACGGTTCTGACGCGATCGAAGCTCCATCGGAGAATACACGAGTCCAGCAATGGACTCCGGTGAATGCACTCTTCTCCGAACCTTCCCCCTGGACTCTCTGACGGATGGGTCCGCCTTAGACTAGGCAATACCCGACTTTGAACTCTGTGTGAACGGAGCCATGAGCCAGGGCAGAGTTTTAAATTCGGTCCTCAGATCGTATGCCGAGCTTTCCCGTTGCTTTCGCAGCGAACAAATAAGATGACTGAAGTGCGCGTCGGATAGATAACCATAACCATGAGATATAATCCGCTGCTCTTTAAGGAAACTCGGAAGCACCTACCGACCGCATTCCAATCCCACCCGATGCCTATTTATAATAAATTCATTGATAGGGAGAGCTATTTTCGATTTCATTACATTCAGCCGCTGAGTCGAGCGGACTCTCAACATCCCGGGTAGAGAATATTAGAGACCCGGCGGAATGTCTCTTTGACGAATGTCGCTTCGATAATTTCAGGTGCGCTCAGGTCTCGAGGGAATGGAATCTCTTAGCAATGGACGGCAGCAATTGGCAGAATATTGATTTGTTCAGGTTCGTATTTTTCGCAGGTTTGCAGTATGAGGATTTTATCACGGGCGATCATCGATCGCGAAGAGCTGGCTATCGAGTGACGGGCTGACGATCTGGAACTTTTTCTCTTCCCAGTTATCAAAAGGACATAAATTGTGACGTCGTCTCCTACATCGCTGGTCGCTGTGGGAGGTTCCTAACAGTGATCAGTCTCAGAGGATGCGAGGACATCTCAGGCGAAGCCTTGATTCAATTTTCGGAACACTGCCCCAATATAGAGAAGGTTTGTCGGGGCTGTCGACTTTGGAAAATTGTCGCATCATACTACTACATAGTACTACCGAGTGCTCGGAGCCAGAACGTCGAAGTCCTCCTAGTCCGGGGAACACCCCTTAGGGAAGAGATCTGGCTGATAGATGGAATTTCGTTCACAGGTAGTTTTGTCCTGTTGTCGGAAAATAACAGATGATGCAATCGTTGCCCTGGCCAAAGCATGTCGCCGCTTGCACTCGTTGTACATCGATTCCTGCGTCGAGTTGACGGATCGCTCGATTATGTCGTTCAAAAATTTGAGAGACGTCAATATCTCATGGTGCAGAAAAATAACACAAGAAGGCATCGGTGAGCGAAATCAGCGTCTCAATCGCTGACGGCGACGTTTCATTCATTAGTGCCTCCGACGGCTAGGAGTTGCGGAACCAGAGCTCATTCTATTCGCTTTCAGGAATGCTGGGAAGCGAACACTTGGTCCGCTTCACGGCTAAGGGTTGTGCTGGCGTTACAAACGAGGCGATGTCGCGTCTCGCGAGCTCATCGCCGAAGCTCGAGGCACTCGACCTGCAGTGCTGTCCCTATGTCTTCGATGCCGCCATCATCGCAGTGGCGCAGAACTGTCACGAGCTGCGAAATCTCTGCGCGTCGGGCTGCTCGAACCTCACAGACGCCTCCACTCAAGCCTTGGCGCAAGGCTGTCCCAAACTGCACACGTTAGAAATGGCTAGCTGCAACCGATGCGGAGACGCCGGCTTCGTTCCACTGGTTAAAGCCTGTCACGAGTTACGTCGTTTAGACCTGGAAGAATGCGTTCTTATCACTGATAGCACGCTCAACAGTATAGCTTTGTCCTGTCCGTTCATGGATAGTTTATCGCTTTCCCACTGTGATCAGATAACCGACCAAGGGGTATTGAAACTCTCGCAGAACTTACTCAGACTCACGGTTATTGAGCTGGACAACTGCCCCTTCATCTCTGACATAACTCTCGATTGCCTGGTCGATTGCTTCCCGGCGTTGCAACGAGTCGAACTGTACGATTGTCAGCTGATCACACAGGAATCGATAAAGAAATTCAAGGAGCGGAGGCCCGGGCTCAGACTCCACACGTACTTCGCTCCAACTACTCCTCAGCAGACGGAGCCGCCTGGGGGAGTGAGACAGCGATACTGCAGGTGCTGTGTTATAGTTTGACGCTCTTGCTACACCGATCTGTAATCATCACTCGTTTCCGTGAACCATCATCGAAGGAGCAATCGAACCAACGAGCAACACTTCGCATTGCAATCAAATGTTTTGGTTCTGACGGAGCCGCTGCTCCCACGAAGACGGTACACGTACACACTCATTTCGATCGACCGTATTCCGTGTCATTCACTGTATTCGGATCTTGGATTTGAATTTAGGATTTAACGTCTTGCGGATTGAATATCTCGAGAGCTCGGTGGCTAAAGATATGAGAATGAGTGATGACGCGAGAGGGGCAACGCCGATATGGCCACGGTGAAAGGTTGAATATTTCGCGGGGCAACGTTACACGGAAGACTCCGAGAAATATCGGGCGTCTCGAGCATGGGGGCTTTTTTAGAATTATGTCGTTCCTCGAATCAGCCACTCACTCAGTCCACGAGCGGCCCCGTAACGAGCTTTGTTAATAGTGAATATGTAACTGTGAAGTGACTCCGAATTCGGAAGTCGCAGAAATCTTCGCGATAATTACGATGTCTGAACTGAGCACGGCATTGACGATATCGTTCCTCTACAAGGAATCTTCAAGGAAACTCGACATCAACCCTACAATGGAGCCTTCGCGATGTACAGGAGGTGCCTCCTCTTATCCGTGTTCGAGTGTCGATGCGAGGCGAAGTTCCGTGCGAGGGCCAATAGTGTATTTTCAAAGGCGGAAAACTTTGTATCGCTTACGAGAATGTCGACGACGAACATAAGTATTTTCCATGGATGGCGAGGACTTGATATTTGTAGACTATTCCCCCTCGGGATGTGGAGTTCTCAATTTTGGCCCCGAGCATAGGTGGAGCATGTTCTTGAGGGACCTAATGGATTTTGAGACGAGCCATTACGCCTGTCGTTGAGAATCGAGACGTCGCTGTACTTTTGAGAATCGAGACAACAACTTCATTGTGTACATTGAATAATATGGATACGAATGACTTTGATGCGAAAGCGATCTTCTTTATTCGGATATCCGTTTCATGAGGTTCTTCTGTAGCCTGCAGGAATAAACACCTCTGCCTGTCGGATGAACGCAGTCTGTTTTCATTCTGTGAGATGAGACCGAACCTGGAAGCCCTTCACCCGAAACTACCCTCCGCCCTGCGAAGTTTGTATACTTTCCGGGTTTCCACTAAGCTTCTAGATTGATACGATCAATATTCGGCCGATACATGAGGAATCGGGAGTAAAAATCCCGTCCTCAGGAAGGAGCTCGGCGCTTCTAGTGAACCTCGCTCCCTCCGCGCTCGGGAGAAACCTCGACTACGTTCGCCTGAAAGTCGCCTGATAGAAAGGGGTCGAGAATCAGGGCGGAAATCACCATCATGTTCGAACGTGAGGAAAGAAGGTCGGAGGGCGGGAGTCTTAAATTCACTTTTCTTTATTGAGCGCAGCTATGAACTCTTCTAGTTTCTCCTGAATGGCGCGGACCCTCTTGAGTTCTTCGGCGAGCTCAACTCGTCGCCCCGTGAGAAGCTCTTTCTTCACTGATGTGTCTTCGCCGAGGTCTTCCAATATCTCCTTGACCTCTTTCTCTAATCTCTTCGTTTCCCGATTCATAACCTGCAGTGAGAGAGGATTGAGAGAGTCTGCTTTCCCTTGAGGTTCGGAACCCAATCAGAATAGCGAATCCATTGGGTCTAGTATCCATCATTCGTACCATGGGAAGAAAGGGACAGGAGAGCTCGACTACCAAGGTAACAAATATATAATCCCTTGCCTGTTGACGGAGGACATTCGATGTGGTCTGGATCATCCTCTGTATTCGCCAAAAAAGCACAACGTCTGGACATTTGGCAGCTTCATCATCGGAGCCCTTGTGGTAGGCGTAGAACAGTCGACTACAGTCCTTCGTACGTTCGGAAGCATATTTCAAGAAATGGTAGCGATAGACAGGATCCCAGGTTTCCTTGATTTGTCTAAAGATCGGGGAGCACAGCATTAGAATTGAGGAACCAATGACGGCTCAGATATTACTTGCGGAACGTCAGGGAATAGTACAAACGATAGCCGGACTCACTTATAGTCTACGCTCTGATAGCCTTTCGACTGAAGATTTTTTCTGATGGCTGTCAGTTCTTCTTGCGTCAGAGCAGGGCCGTGTTCCTGTAAGGGAATGACGAGTGAAGTAGATCACCCCCTGCGGTTTTGATCACTCTGATTTCCGGAGCCGGTGTCTTTCGGTGAACTCACTCTGAAAAATGTCTCAGGCTGTCTGAAAAGCATGGCCTCGAGCTCGGTCTTGATGGCACACTTGACGTTTTGCTCGGGACTTCGATACTTCCAGTAGAGCCACTGTTCGTAGAATCCCGGTCCGACCATTTGATACACTCGATCCTTGGCATCGGTGAACTTCGTCTTGAGAACTTCTTCCATGAACTGTACACTGGTATCCCACTGATGCTTGTCGTGAACACAACGGTCCTCGAGAGCGTTCAGCTGGATCAGACGTAACGTCTCAATGGACTTCTCCTCCCAGTTGTGTCTCGTGACCAATTCTTCGAGGACTCGTAGCATGAGCTTATCGTAGATCTGATCGTGACCCTTGCTTTGCTTCGTGGCTTCGATCATCTTCTGCAAGGTTTCCTTGAGAGCGAACCAACCGACTTCCATGGATACTTTCGGGAGAATCTTCTCGACCCACAGCTTGAGTCTTATGTCGGCAGCGGTATTAAACGTCCCGGAGTTTCTCGTCTGCGCAGCCGGGAAGTATATGCTGTCGAAGACGTGGCTCTCCACTTCCTGCCAGAGCCGAATTTGAAGGGTTCGCTCCCATTCTTTGGGCGAAAGCTGGGAGAGATGAGCGACTTCGTCGAGTAACTCGCTCCTAGCACGCTCAAATAGCTCATCGCGATCGAGTTCCCTCTGTCGGGGAAAATTGTTCTTCCACTCTGCTTCCAAATTGAATCTGGGAAAAATTGATATCGTTGAAAATTATGATTTACATAGCTATAAGTACAAGCATGAGAGAATTATACGTATGTTTCTGTCTGGTATTCCGCCGATGCCGGGAAGAAGCGCCCGGAGACAGCGGAAGGAAAGTCTCGAGTATGGCTAGCAGCACATGACATTTCAGTTATGACGTACCTCTGAGCTTTGAACGTTTCACTCTGCTGCTCGATGCTGTCTCTCACCATTCGCCAGAAACATTCACTGACACTCAGACTTAGATTCTGCGTTGTGCACTGCGACGTATTGAGGACACCGTCGCGACACAGCTTGCTGTTTAGGAAGAATTGCTCCTCGTACGCCTTGATATCCTCGATGCGGTCGTCCTTGCCCCCCTTCCCCGTAACCACCGCAAAATATCCTGTAAGAAAATATCGGGAGCTCGCTATTCGGTAGCAGATGCAGAGACGAGGAGCTCGTCGTAAGCAACCTCGAGCAGGCAGTAGTAGAGCGCATCTTCATTCGATCTGAAGTCTCACCTAGGGCTTTCATGGGGAAGAGTTTTCCGTCCAGGATCTTTTTTATCCTATTGGGATTGGCCATGTTTTTCTCAGCCAAGTCGACCTTCGTCAACACGAATACTGTTCTGGCACCCTCTGGATCCGATCGGCTCACCAGGTCAGTCACCATCGATCTCTCAGCGTCCACCGACCCGTCTTGGATGCACAGAATTATGGCGTTCGGATTGTTCATGTAATATTCAGTCATTTCCCTTATAGATTCCTTAGTTCCTTCGGCCATTTCCGTCGTCGACGTGCTGATGATACCAGGCAAATCGACCAAGACCATCCTTTGGAGTCCTGGGCCTTTGACATTTAGAGAAATGACTTCGTTCGAGACCGTTTTGCCGTCGGCGACGCTCCGCCGCATCCTATACTCGATTTCTCGTCTCAGGTCTTGCAGCTCTTTCTCTTTGGTTAGGTCGTACTCTCGACTCGAATCACTGAATTGTGCGACATGTGAGGCTGCTTCCGAAAGAGTGACCTTCACAGGCGACCGGGTCATCATCTCACCAGCACCCCGCGGGAATATTCTGGGGATATGGAGACCATTATCCACCGCGAGGAAGTTCATTCTTCATCCTGGTAACTCTAGAGTTCGCGAGAGAAAGATGTAGCCGTGGCGAATCAGAGATGAAATCCATTCCGTACCTTGCTTGAGCGATCATCTCTAAAACTGACGTCTTTCCCGCAGACTGATCGCCGACCACGACCACCCTTGGGAGGCTGTCCTGAACGTCGAACCCACATCCGCTGAGCTCGTCCAGAACTTCCGAATACAAGTCGATCAAGGACTTCTTGAGGCTTCGTCTGCTTGAGGCAAAGACAAGGAAAAGGTCAGACATGGTCCACAGGGGATTTCTCGGGATGGGATTGCTCGCTTGCTCAATGCGATTCGCTATCGACCTGACGTGGTGCGCGGATTTCCCCTTCCGGATGAGCAGGATCTCTCGTCGCAGCTCCTTGTTCTCTTTCTCTAGTTTCTCGAGTTCCTTCTGGTATTTCATTTGGAGATGGATCAACTCGTCTTGGAGACTGTTTATCCGTTCCTGCTCGAGACCCGGTCTTGTTAGGAGGAATTTCCATCTCGAGTTGGAAGCGATTCGCTACGGAGACAGAGCAAGCTTTTCCAGGGCATGGGTTCGCGAGGGGATTAGGAGGAGCCAAAGGATCGCGGTGGAACCATCAGGGTATACTACAGCCGACTTGTTTCTACTGATGCATGGGGACACACTGAACGAGTAGTCGCAGAACTTACTACTGGCAATGGTGAAATGAAAAAATCGCAGAACGCCTCTGCTCTGTTCCTGAACGATACCTGCCTGATTCCTTACCTGGTCCGTTTTTTGCCGCGGGGCTTTTTCATCTCCCGCAAAGAGTCCTGCAGCTGCTGCCGCCATGGTCTCGATATTATTACCGTTAAGATCTGATGCCGGCGAATCTAAGTGAACTGCATTCAACCAGTTGACAAAACTGGCGACACGATCTGTCAATGCTTCCCCGCCTGGAATCGAGAGTGAGCTCAAGTTTTCAGCAGCTCGGTAGAACGAATGCGGAGAAACTCATCAAAGGAAGATCGTCGACTTGAAAATCACTCACTTTTCAATTTAGCATTGTTCACGGTTTCCCGCATTTTGGAGACACTTTCATCCGACGGTAAGAGGTCCTCAACCCACTTGGCATCTGGGAGACTCTTCTTGAATTCTTCATACCTAGGATGTTATTCAGATTTCAGATGCGATCTCATATCATTGAAATAATGCGCTAGGTTCGTCCCTCCAGCATTCGATGGCGGCCTTACTTGTTCGCGATATTCGCCGCGCCGGCCACCGTTCCGCCCAGAACGAGATACCGCAGTTTCAGAACGTGTCTTAGAGCTCGCGCCACCAAGAAGATCCCTCGTTGCTGCTGAGTAGCGATCAGCTGTAGGAGGAGAAAGATTGATTGAGCCGGTCTCAAAGACGCATCGATGCCGCCTTCGGTCGAATATGATATTCACTCGTTGAGCGGTTGCATGCTTAGCAGCGCGAAATGCTATCCGACGAAATCAGAGAGCCTCCGCCGGACCGACCACCTGAACAACGCGATTTTCTAACTCTAGAGACAGCGAGCAGCGGATCAGAAATCGAGTTCACGACCCTCTTCGAATTTCACTTGCAAGAATTCTGAATCTCCTCGATGAATACGCATGCCGCGCGAGTTCTCGTCTACTTACTAGAGGCGAAATCCTCCTGTTTCCTTGGGGGTTCGACTTGGGTCGGCGCTTGAGGGCGTGATACCCCCGGGCTCCGACAGCCCTCACCGCCTCGCCGCGACAACGGCTCAACATTTCGTAGCTCCCAGATCCACCTATCACGGTTTCAATTCATAGTGTGAGAGAAAAACTCCAGTAATCGAAACGGAGCTCCACGATCGGTCGCGATGTTCTTGTCTTCTGAAAGTGTTCTTGAAAACGCGTTGCCATCTACCGCGACCATTCGGTGGTATATGTCAACGTCGACAACCTCTCGTAGCCTCCAAGTCTGCGCAGGATTATAGCTAATGCATTTTCCGCTGGGCTGTGGCGTGGCCTTGAGTAAGGTTTCATGCAGTCTCTCCAGCTTCAGATGACATTTTCTTGGGCTGAGAACTCAGGGACAGCGCGATGGCGTTCTTTCTCAATCCTAGGTATTCTTCTCTCAATCGCTCGTCTCCGGTCGGATAGAGAGGAGATCGGAGAGATGGCCCCCACAAACACGTTCCATCTGTCAAACTCGGGAGGCGGGTCGAATGAAAATCTTCGGAGGGAAGATTGGAGTCCCGACACGTTCCCTTAAGCTTCGCGCGAAGGCGGGGGAGAGCTCCCCCGGCCGAAAGGACTCATTCCGCGCGATCGCGTCAGTTACTCGCTCTGGTTCGATATTCAACGTAGTTGGAGCAAGGACCGAGGCGGATGGTCGTGCTCTTGGAAAGGCCCTGCCGCATAGGAACGGTCACGCGACTGTTCGTGGGTGCACCCAGACATTAGCGGGAGTGATCGAATGAGACCGAGATCTCGTCCGTGATAATTTTTCTTGTGTTCGCGCTCTGTATTCATCCTGCGAGTTCATCTCCCGTAGTAACCTTCTCGCGAGATCAAAATGAGGCCCCCGACGATTCGATGTCCCCTATTCTTATTGCATCGTCGATGCTATCGTTCAGAACGAAAGATGGATTCAATTCATAGGTGATAAATAAAGATCGCAACTCCTGGGGAACACTGTGGACTGCTGCGCTTTTTTATCGAGTTGGAAGTCGGATCCCTCAGACGCTGGACTTCTGCAGAAACCCGATTCTGAAAAATTTTGAGATCTGGGGGACCGTGAGCTGAAACCCGGACATCGAATGCGGAGAACTTTCTCGCTTCCTGCATGATTGAAAGGAGCGCCGCTCCGCGCGGTTATCCAATTTGGGAAAGGCCGAATCAATTTGTCCTCGTGACGAATCAACTCAGGTGGACCGAGATATAATATTTCCCAAGTGACACTTGAAGTACTTCGCAACACTTCTCACAACATGAAGTTCTGCGAGAGTGTGCTTCGATCACGAGTTGTCGAACCTATCGCGCGCTCTTTTTTGAATGGCACCTCTGAGGCAGCGCTCCGGATCGAAGCCAATAGTACCCCCGTATCCACCGCAATTCCACCCACGATTGCTGGCGCAAAAACCTTCTGCGTAGTTGGTTCGACTCCATCCAGGAAACAGTGGCGATGAAATTCAAGAAATCTCCGTCGAATCCTGGGAGGAGCGGAAGTGCTACGACGCCATATTGACTTTGCGGTGTCTTTGAGAACTGCAGCAGCACACACAGCAGAGAGGGCGCGCTCCGATCGGTGAAACTTGCAGCGAAACTTCTTGAATTCCTAAGTCGAAATGGCACCTCCCGCATATTCTGACCTTGGCAAACAAGCCCGTGATATCTTCTCGAAGAACTATCTCTTCGGTGTGGTGAAACTTGAGAGCAAGACCAAGTCTCGCTCTGGCATCGAGTTCACCGCTGGTGGAACTTCGCTCAACGATACTGGCAAAATCGACGGCTTCCTCGACGTCAAGTATAAGATCACCGAGCACGGTATCACCCTCAAGGAGAAATGGACAACCGACAACAACTTGAGCACCGAGATCACCGCTGAAGATTGCATCACCAAAGGACTCAAGCTCTCGGCCAATGTCAACTTCGCCCCTCAGACTGGTGAGTTTGGGGGATCGGGCTGGAATTGCGGAGAATTCTCGCGCGACAATCGCGAACATCCGCCTAAGCGTGCACTTCAGCTTAGGCGTAGACTCTCTGAATCCTTGGAAAACCACGTGGTGTCCTTGAGTGACCCTGTCTTCATGACGCTCCCTTAATCGCGCTGCGCTTCTCGCTCTTCTGGATCAAAGGATGTGGCCGATAGTTCATCGACGCTTGTCCGCAGCGGTCTTGACGATCTTTCCGGAGCTTCGGATGCGGATCCTTAGCGTGACCGCGCCCGGAGCTCCAATGACCTCAAACCTCACCCTGGAATAATAGGAACCACGCTATACTGCGCGATCACTCTCAGAGTCGTAGCATCGCGCTGATCGACGGGAAGCTGAGCATTGCTGAAAATCGAATTTTCGAGAGAAATGAGCGACTTCCTTTCTCGAATGGGATGGGAGCTGCCGAAGTGATCTCTAACGGAATTGAGTTTAGGCGCAGGCTCGAGCGCTCCGCCTCACAACCTCCCCGTAGACTCCCCCGGATTCCGATTTCAATGCTTAAAACTCCGCATGCCCGCCCCGAGCCTCCCCGCGACCCTCGAGCAAACATGCACCGACTTGACCAACTCTCTTGATCTTGCTCTCCCAGTGTACATGTTGTTCCGAGGTCCCTCACGATTCGAGCGAGCCGTAGCTCTGGAACGCCCAGAGTCGGCGAGTTCTCGAAACATCCGGAACAGTTCTATGCCACGGAGGGCAAATGAGCGCGTCGGAATCCTTTCCATCAAATATGATGACGACGGCAATCATTCGAGCTGCGATGAATCCCACGGAGAGAAAACGGCGCTCGCGTCGGGAATTCGCTGCGTGTACATGGAGCTACCGTTACGGGAGCTGGATCAGAATGGGGATTTCGAATAGAGTACTCATTATAGGCGTGAAGGGATTCTCTCTGACTCTGGCAAAGAACATTCAGAATTTGAAGAAGAACAAGCTGACGCTCAACTGTCGAATCACCTCGAAAGACCCAGGTCCGAATACCAGAATTTATATGGAGCTTATCTTCACTTGAGTCGCAGACATTTTTCCCTCGCGGAGATTGATGGCTGATCCTTCCTCTCTGAGATAATCGCTCGGAACTCATCGATTTTGAGCTCATGTTTCCTTTCCGAAATCTTGCAATGGGGTGGGAAAACTTTCCACTGCTACGGTTCTCGATTGAGGCTCTCCGAGCGTGACTCAACGCAGTCTCTACTTGCCAGACGGATCCCGTGGTTCATTGCTCTTTTCGACCCGCTATACTCTGTCATGATGATTCTGAGGAGCTTATGCGTCGAGACTGCTTGCTTCAATTCCGTCGTCCTCCCTGTATGTTGTCGGAGTGATATTGAGTACTGCAATTGACGTTCCAACTTACAGGCAAGAAAAATGCTGTCGCATCCGCTGGATTCAAGGGAGAATGCGTCAACTCTACAGCCGACGTCGACTACAATGGCGGCTCGCCTCTGGTCAACGCTACAACCGTACTCGCGCATCAGGGTTGGCTCGCTGGTTGTCAGGTGAGCTAATAGTGGATTATTTCGGTTTGTCGCTGTGGGCGAAAATGTCTTGAAAAAGAGTCATGATTGACGAGCAGATATTTCTGAATCCTGTATCGTTTGAACTCGCCGAAGGGTATCTCGACTCTAAACACGAGCAACGAACTTTTCGTGGGGCAGATCAGCTGCAATCCCTTTGCGGAGCCGGAGCAAGCAGCATGGAAATTGGATGGACGGAGCAGCTTAGAAATCAGATTTGCTGCGCCAAGGAGAGCTCACTGAGGGAAATCATGGCGACGGACGTTTTGCTATATGGGTCAAATCGCGAGAAGGGGCCCCGATCGTTATTCAAAGCATATGACATACATTCTCCCATTCTGAGACCTTACTGCCAAGGCTGTGCATGAAACTGACTCAATCTGACGCCCCATCGAATATTAGGGACAGCGATATTCGATAACTACGAATCGATTTGCCTTCGAGTCGTTTCTTTGCTCGAGCGAGTGCCAGACGCCCGACCCCTTATCAGAGGACGATTCATCCATTGCTCGCCTTCCATTTCAGCTTGGCTTCGATACGTCCAAGAAGAACCTGACGAAGGTCAACTTCGCCGTAGGATACTCCAACGACGATGTCGTACTCCACTCGAATGTCAACGACGGCAAAGTCTTCGGGGCTTCCGTCTACCACAAAGTGCGTCCCGATCTTGCGGCCGGTTTCTCTATCAACTGGAACCAAGGAAACCAAGCTGCCCAGTTCGGCGTCGGCGGCGTGTACACTGTCGACAGGGATACCTCTCTCCGCGCGAAGATCAACAACCAGGGCTCTCTCGGTCTCGGACTCACACATCGTCTCCGCGATGGTGTCGAGGTCACGCTTTCGTCGAACGTTGACGTTAAGAACTTCAATCAAGGAGGTCACAAGCTCGGTTGCGGACTCAATCTCGAGGGTTAACTGCTTGGGCACTATCCACTGAAAAGTTTCCACTTCCTTGTGTCCGAAGTGTGACCTGAGAGTAAAATGTATTTTGAAACAACAGCTGTTGAGGGTGTGAGACTGAAGAATGTTTAGCCATAGGAACGCAAAGCAAACCCGATCAGGAAGGAAGTTGCACTCGAACGGTGGAAGAGAAATAGAGTTCATAGACCGATGTCTGTTGAAGTGAAATTTCGAATGCTTTCGCTGCGGAAACCAAAGCAGGAAACAGTTGGTTCATCATTTGTGTACCGTCTCGCTTCTAAGAATTAGTCGGACGATACCTCGATATAATGAATAAATCATTCTCCTCGTAGTATTCCTCACCACCAAATCGTGTCCTGTTCAACCGTGCCTTGAACGTTGACGATCACGTTCCGTCTTCGTCAAATGTCTGCTGAGAACCCACGTCTTACTTCGGAGAGAGACCGCGCGGAATCTTTAAAGACCGCACTTCGAGAGCGGAGATGGATCTGAGGGCTCGGAATTTACGTGATCTAGTTGTACTCTTGAGTGCTCTGCGGGGAACGTCCGCGGGTGTGGCTCCCGTACGGGGAACACTCCAATGAATGGGAAATTGATCCAGGAGAATTGAACCCGGAGCATTGCAGTTCGAATCCCCGCTACCCCGGGAGGGAACTTTAGCGGAAGTAAGGTTAAGGCTGAATCGGAAGAGTATAGCGCTCATTTTCACTCACGAGATCCCAATTAGATCTCCGGCGTAGCCTTCCGGCTTACGATGAGGGATGTGTCTATAGAACATATTGGAAGGGCTCAGAGAACAAGCGTACACCGGCCGAAATTCGAGGAATGTAGCCTACTTCGTCGCTTCGCGTGGGGAAACGCGCCCGTTTCGATAGAGTATTCTCGGTGTGGGCGCGCTCGAAGGGAAGACCGGGTTAGGTTGCGTGTCCTCCGATTACGACTTCTCCTGGTTCTCGAGAACTTCACCGCCGTGTTCCAACTTCTGCGTCTGTTGTGTGAAATTATCATGATCGCTGCTGGCGACTAGCGGAGAGCTTGCCAGAGCTATGGTTTTTCTGAGCATCAACACGGGTACCCCAAGAAGGAGACACGAGCACTAGGAGAGTTCTCTCATGCTGGATATCGTATACCAATCCGTTCGATTTCCAGCATCCCAGCTCAGCAGTCTCTAGGGGAAAGAAGATCTCTCATGGATAGAGTGTTGAAGTGGAAGCTCGGGTTGAAATGACGCTTCGATATGCACGAGCAATCATCTGCCTTCTCCTCCCTGAGAGCTCTCGCCCCTCAATGCACGATATGCTGCAAATTCAAGAATCACTAGAGCTCGCCCTTCCATGCGAATATATCAGGTACACAGCTCCTACTTCCCGATTCCCAAACTTCCCAATTATATTCGGAATCCAATCTCAATCCATTCGGAAAGAGGCTATGCGTCAGATTGGCGGTCAGAGCGTACGAGACGGACCAGAGGCTAGAGGCTAGAATGTCACATTTTAGAGCTCGTAGGCGAGGTGCACTCCAAAGAGGGGCCAGGGATGTCTGAGCGTGGTCTGAGATCACCAGCTTCGAATTGGGCTCCGAGCAAAGCTCGGGCATGGGCTCACGGTCGGCGGCGGCTTCGGAAGGAGCTCGAATATTCACCCTCGTTTACAATCGCCTCGAACATCAGCTATTGAGGTGACTGGAGCCGAAGGTCCGGATGGAGCTCCGCTGTACTTTCGTGAATCGACTCCCAGTTTAGCCGACCCATACGACATATCACTGACGGAATGATTCCACGGGAGTCAGGTGACAGGATTGGCGTTGCTTATGGATTACGTCATTCCAGCTAATTTTGGAACCAGAGGTGATCTTCCTCTCCCGTAAAATTCAGTGATTGCTCGCGAGACTCGAGACGCGAGACGTTTTCTTTAAAAAAAATTCTAGATACCGTCGGAGCGAGCAAGCCTCCTAAGCGACTTTCCCTGTTCATAGACAGCTATAAGCAAGCCGTTCCCATTGCAGCCGGATCGTGGGGTCCCGTTCCCGGGCGAGATAGAAAATAGATCTACCACCAGAGGGAGAAGAAGATTTCCTGGGCAGTGCACGATAAAGACGATTCAAACTTTCTTCTACAAGGCATCACTTGAAGACCGATTCTCGGAGTTTGAGGGCGTTGAGCTCTCGAACTTAGTTGAACGGAGCATCACGCGCATCATTTTCCGAATTTCCGTGAAGCTCACGCTGTGATTATTTCAGATGTTATCCGAGTTCTAAGCTTCTTTGATATAGTAAATCCGATCGGTGCCGCAATTTTCATCTTTGCCGGGACAGTCCATCACGTCCAGATCCTTCGTCAAGCAGAAGTGAATTTCTTTCAGCAAAGGGAACTCCATGCCATGTACTCGCTGGCACTCTAGCCTAGCCTTCGCCTCGAGACGATTATCGAGAGCCTTCTCGACCTCACTGACTGGGTAGGCGCGGTCGTTGTCCGGACGGACCTGGGCATCTTCCAAATACTCGGTCAAGTTCCATTTCGAGTAGAGTTGCAACGTCTGGCTGAAGTAGTTGTACTCGCCGCTCAGTCGGGGGATCGATTTCGCACAGGTACCGTGCTTGCTCCACTCATGGCTCCAGAAGCTGTCAGAATTTTCACTCGTGACAGACGGCCAATACTCGTCGAGCTGAGATCTCAGAGTCGAGATTCGAGATGCGTCGAAAGGATGGGATGGATCACAGTTCTCGGGCCACGCCGTAGCATTGCTCGGCCAGAGGCCATGGATGGTCCAGAAGTGACGTAGTTTGTCCTGGGAGCAGAGGTAGACTTTAGGTTTGAGAGCAATGATCGTTCATGAATCCATAAGCAGCGGATCGAGGAAACACGATTCCGTACCGTCACACAGTTTCCCGTGGCACGACAATACCCCTCGGTAGACTGCTGACTGAACAGGAGGTAATCGAACGCAACGTTTTTCTCGCTCAAATCGCTGACGGGATGTTTCCCGCGGAGAGGTGTAGCCAATGTCAGGCTCACCGAAACCACTAGGAGGGCGCCTCGGAGACTCTTCATCTATTGGAAAATGCTCTGCGTGAATCTTGCTCCAAGTTCGAGTTTCCGGCCTAACCGATACGGAAACCCTCTCGGAAGTCGCGGGAGCAGCTCAGGGACATTATAACAGAGGCAAACTCCCTTCTGTTCTACGCGGGAAACTCACATTTATCTTTGGGAGAGTTGACCGGGTCGAACGGTGAGACGAGACTCGGGACCGTCGCGGGAGTTGCTTTGCCACCAACCAGGAACAATATGTATAGTCGCTGTCAAAACAGACGGGTTTCGACCTCCGACGGAGCGAGGGAGGTTTCGCCAGAATCCAATAGACTTGACTTTTATCTCCTAATCGTATGAACTGTTTTTTCCTTGTCGGAATTCCTCGAGGATGACCCCGGCTTCCAATATGAGGATTAGAGATCACGGAGGCTTATCGGTGACAGTGACCTATGGCCATGAGTATCTTTCCATCCCGACACGAGCTCACTCTGCTCGGCTATCCTTCCGACACCGGCTCCGTGGTCCGTGGGAAAATCTCCCCGCCCTTTGGCGGTCAGGCATCAATTTTTAACATGCTTCATTTTGTCTGACCTGAGCTCACTGGACTCATCAGGCAATGCGAGGCGATTTCGACGGTAACGCGGAGGCGTTAACTTCCGATCCTTGTCTCGCCCATGGGAGCTGTCAGACCATTGACTTTGCAATACATGAGCCAATGAAGGAAGGGATATTTGCTCGAGCCTCAAGCCGGAGCTCTTTCCGACCTGGCCCAGAATTGATCACTATCGTAGGAGTCGGGGGCATTGCCCGTTCCGGGGCAGCGACTGAATTCCACGCGTCCCCGAAGGATAGTGAGCGGGTCCGCTATGTACCGATCTACCCTCGGTACATAGAATAAGGTCCTCTGCCTTCTCCACTCCACCACGAGCCTGTCTGGGAGCGAGCTTCACCTACGCTAAGGAACAACAAGCCCTTTGAGAAGCCCCGAGGAAGCTGTTCGACGTCTCCGAGATACACCCGGAGATGACCCGCATTGTGCCCAACTGCCTTGATCAACGACCTCGACGCTAGAACGATGCTGAGGGTTGCGAGCTCGTTCGAAAGAGAAATTCGATAATTGACAAGATGAGACTGTTTTCGCCTACAATTTCCGCACGAAAAGCACATTCAGATAGTGAATGCTAAAAAGAATTCCCGAGGTATTCCCTTCGATGGAGGACTCCGCTGGCCTTAAGCATCTGAGTCTGGGAGGGATCGCAGATCTCGGCTTGTGTAACAACTCATTACCTTACCACGTGCGAGACCCGCTAAGTGATCAGGGACGTAAGTAGACACGGACTCAATGGAGGTCGATCGAATTACCCAACAAAAAGCGAAAAAAAATCAGAACTCAAACCTGCGTCAAACGCTTTTAGTGGACCGCGGATCGGCTGTCCCCCCGGGAGTTATATAAGGCCAGCGGGTGATAATTACGTATCAGCCCATTTACCTGGGCGGTGCGGAGCGTCTACGAAAACTAGGAGAACTATTCAAAATCCTCGCATTGCGTCATAGATTATCGACATCGCATAAACAGCGGAAAACGAGGGAGTATCAGGAAAGATTGAGGAGAATGTTACACATGGGTTGAGCTGGTGAAAAACACGGAGTTCGGTATTTTACAACGTTTATTAAAGAATGTATAACCGTGTGACTACATACATATATTCATTTGATTCTCCAGCAGGGATGCTGATTTTCAATTTGTACTAGGTATGAATTCGAGCTCCTTTCTGTAGCGCTCCCAGTCACCTAGGAGTCTCGAGCGCCGAAGATCCTCTCACTCACGATTCCTCTACTCGTCACCTGATCGTAGCCGCCAGCAGTCTACTTCTCATCGCTGCTTGAGTTTTCAGCATTGTCGGACGCAACTGCCGTCGGATTGAACTCGCCTTCATCCATTTCTTCGGTCTCTGATTTGATGTCCATTTTAGAAACAATAAGTCGCAGAAGCACTAACTGCTGCTCCATGTTCCTGCTCATGTCTCTCATCCTGTAAAAAAAATCGAACCAACACGGCTCAAGCCTTGTCCGAACACACATTCCTATGAATATTTTCTCGATATCTTCAAAGAATGTCTGCACACTTCTCTTTCTGCCGATTGAGCTGCTCGTTGACTTCACTGATTTGACTTTCGACCTGTTGTGTGAAACTTTTCGAGAGAGCTCGGTTGTTGTTGTTCGACCCAGCCCCGGAAGTGCCTGTATTGATGCGAGCACTTCCGAACCATCTCTTGACCGTTCTCCACTTTTCCGCCGAGGGGGAGGCACAAAGTTAATTAGCGTCGTGTCGTATCGGTGAAACAAATTATTTTCCGGAGAAATTCAGCCGGTCAAGTTCTAACACGAAACTCGAGATCGCACTCTGTTGACAGCTCAGAGAGGAGGGCGATACTCACGAATAAATTCCCGCTGCCCTTCTGATTGGGGAAAATGGAGATTTCGGTTTTATCAACCTCCGCCAGAATTTTTCTTGGAAGTTTCCGCTCCAGGTCCGTGTGCAGACGAACCTGCATGGTCAGCCTCTTCAGTTGTGCATTTCGTCGGACCGTCTCAATATCGCCGACCGCCAAACCGATCTGAAGTTGTTGAGAAGCAAGACTGAACTCCGTGTTCTCATTCAAGGACCAACCCGGAATTCTGATTGGATCTCCCACCCTCGTCTGTGGGAAAAAACGCAGGAAAACTGACCAGCAGGTTCATCAAGAGAATCGGCATTAAAATGATGAAGGCGACCAGGAACATTGTAGCGGCTACTATTTGGTACCATGCGGACGAGTCGAGATTCCTCAGAGGGCTCAGATAGGTTCCTAAAAAATCCAGTTCCCCTAACATCATTGTGCCGACCCGAATCAAAGACACCAGGGGGGAATGGAATCCTTTGTCGTCTAGCGTCTGAAACTACAAATCGATCCCGCCGTTAATTCCGTCGAGCTCAGAAGGATATCTGGACTGCAATTCCTAACAGTGAAGTAGGAAACTCACATTCAGCACGTATGAAAGGTTCCCGGTGTAAGGATCAATAATAGCTTTCCTGGTGGTGAGCTCCACACGGGCCAATAGGATGTGGAAAGATAATCCGAAAGCTATGATCAACACGGAGAAAACCATGACCACTCGCAATAGCGTGGACAGTATCTCCAAGAACATCACAACGTAGAGTCCAACCCGGTTGAACCTGAATCCGGAATCGGCGCAATCATGAGCATTCTGTCAGCTCGCGCTGCTCCGGATAGTCTACTACCAGCTTCGAGGCCGCCGACAAACCTTTGTAAAAAGAGCAAGTAATTGAACCAGGCGAGGAAGACTGCCACCGCCGCCACGATATTCTGATAGGACCTCTCTTCGGTTCGCGTAAGTTGTGACAGCGCCATCAGTCCAGCTGCGAGGTACAAGGCCCACTCCAACATGTTCATGACATCCACAAAATATTTAGTTCTCTGCGAGAAAGAAAAGAATCATCAACGGGTTTCTCGAAGAGCTTTGATCCACCAAGAGAGTGATCAAGGGGAGAAGCGATCAAAGTCATGTGATCCTTCAAAAACTCCTCTGAACTTGCATCCGCAAGAGTTTCTCAGAAATTCGCGGGAACCGAATCGTCGAAAAAATTTATTCTCACTTGCTGAATGAGCTGGAAGGCCTCCTTCAAAACATTGATCATTACGAACAGCAGGACGATGACCGAGGTCAGCGAAGAGAGTGTCGCCTGTCGATGAAGGCAACGATGAATAAATAATCAGCCGAGCAGCTAAGCCGGAGACTAATTATGCGAGCTGCGGGGAGATGATCGGAATCGGGTCGTTACGACGGAAAACACTCACGATCGAAGGTCGCGCAAAAGCATTCGCGACATCCGCCGACGACACTCCCCGCTGTCTTTTTTTATTGTCCTGCATGAGCTGGACCGCGTTCAACGTTAGGAAAGCCAGGAACACGGTGTAAACCATCAAGTTGACGATGTGGAAGTAGAGTCCGTAGGCGTTCCTACGACAAAAGGGAAGGTCAGGAATGTAATAATTTCGTGCTTCGATTGGTGCTCGAACCATTCGGCTCCCCTCACCTACCATTTTGTCTCGAGATATTTCACGCTCAACGGGTGCGATAAGAGTTCTTCCCGGCCGTAGCGTACCATGATCTAAAATATGTCCGAGAAAGAAATGAGCAAATAGGCGGAATTCACGCACGATCAGATGCTGGCAGAATTCTTCTCTCCGGAAAGTGCATGCCGGATGGACATCCCCTCGAGCTCCGACGCCGCAGCCTTCCCAGAATTCCGAACAGGGAAGGTTCACGGACGTCGAGCCTATCGAGATCTTCGAGACTCAGGGGATATCGTTTTCCAAAGACCGGCTATCCGGCTCAGGCTTCGTTTCGCTCCCTGTCTAGCTTCCGGGGAGCCTCCTTGAACCGCGGCAACAATGTCAAGAGATAGCCCCGTTGGGGCTTAGAGCGGTTACAATTTTGTTCCAGAAGCCTCCACACGATATAGAGAGCACTTTCCCCTTCGGACAGCTCTGAACAGTCTGCGGCTCGCAGTGATCGGATGCCGAAAAGTCGAGCTCGCCTAGAGAGCGCCCCTATCCATTCAGTTCACTCCGCTACTCACGTTCATTACTGGCAGAGGCTCGTCAGTCATGGGCACGACGTCCGCGTTCTCAGAGTTCTGGAGGCATGCGAAGCTGTATTTTACCTGGAGGATTGGAGGGGAAAAATCTCAATGCGGGGATTTTCCTCGGGTTGATCCGCCGCGCTGCTCTCGTTGGCATTCGGAGCCCATGGGGAAGATTCTCACGTAATATTCTGTAGAATCGTGACTCATTTTCGATTTCGAGATCCCCCGGTCGAGAACTGTCATCATCACCTCCGGCATCACCGCGGTCAGTCCCTCCACGAGACAACCGTAGGTCTTGACTTGACTCATCATGATTTCTTCACTCCTGAAAACACGAATCGAGGAATGAGAACCCACATCTCTCAAACTTCAGCGGAAAAACGAGGGCATTGCCGAACTATTACCTTGTGGGATGAGTGACCATAGCCATTGCGACTTCTGAATGTTTATAATGGAGCGCGTAATCCATCGGGCTCATGTCGATGCCGTTTTTGGTGACTTTGCAATGCATATGCAGCAACATAACAGCTGTGCTCGAACGATTCTTCATCGCAGCCATATGGAGCGCGGTATTCTGAAAACATAAGTTCGAGAATGCTGTAGACTCCAGGAATTCATCGATTATTGAAGTTTTCCCTCCCCTGCATTTTTTCTGGAGGAAAGGCGCTTGAACCGATGGTATGGCTCTCGTCGACTCAATACTAAGAAAGAATGGTCTCCCCCTTGATATTCACCCCGTCTCGATCAGTTTGATCGAGTAAGTGAGAATGGACTGCAAGAAGCTGTTCCATGGTGTTGTTGAAGCCGTTCATCGCCGCGTAATGCAGCGGAGTTCGCCCTTTGTGGTCCCGATGCAACAGAGCGCCTAGAAAAAAAAGCGGAATCGGATTTCCTCATCGCCGCTCATCGAGGGAATTCGCTCCGTCTTACAGACGCTGGGACGAGCGCCTCTCTTAGAAAATCCAATTCTCCCGACCTTTCACAAGCAGTAAATGCACCACTCGCACGTGACCGCACTGAGACGCAATATGCAGAGGAGTTTTTCCTTCGCCATCCATTTCGTTGATGATCAAGTGACCCTTTTTGCTGTCCAGAAGGTGGCGAACCTACGAGGAATCGAGAGGGTATGCTCGGCTGAGCGAGATAGAATTTCGATTTTCCAATTTCTTCTCCACGACCATCAAGACGATCTGTCGCAGTCCCAAATGTCTAGTCGCTGCGTAGGGAACGGAGTCAACGAACCGTATTGTAACGACCGTATTTTGCGGCGAAGTGCAACGGGGATTGATTGTCATTATTTTTCAAATTCACTGCGGCCCCCAGAACGATCAGGGACTGGATACTCTTCAACTGTCCGTTGCGAGAGGCGTAGTGTAGCGCAGTACAACCGCTGCTATCCCTGCGAGAGAAATTTACTTTTGAGAAAATGTTCGTCTCAACCGCGATCCTCGGAGATTCTCCTTCGGCTAGCCATTCAAAGCTCTCACCTCTCGTTGAGCAATTGCATGAATTCTTCGAGTCGCTCCTTATCCGACGTGAACTCCTCGATCGAACCTCCGCTGAGAACGATATGATGCAGCAGAGTCCTACCTTGATTATCTCGTTGGCTCTTGAGATCTGCTCCCAGCTTCAGAATAGCCATAACCGTCTTCCAGGCGCCTGTGGAATTCCACTTTCGTGCTACAAACAATCCGCAGGAAACTCTAGATAACCTCATCAGCAATCGCCCAGCATTTCACCCCACTCACTCCGCGCAGCTGCCAAGAGGAGGACCGAGCGACCCTCTTTGTCCGTTGCATTCATGGAGGCACCTTCGTCGACGAGGTACTCCACGAGCTCGACGTGATCGAACATCGCCGCGCAATGGAGTGGCGTCATGTTCTGAGCATCGGAACACGTCAGACAGCCCTACCGAGAGCGAGACTTGATTTAATTTTTCCTAGTCGATTCCTCCGCCGAGCCGGTACTCAGCAGAGTATTGCTTGGAGGCGAACACCGAAACCTCTTTCCTTCAGCGAGAATCAAGAACTTCTGTCCGTGCCGAACCCAGCATTTATGATCACGATAATCTCCCGCTCAGAGCCTGTAGGGATAATTTCTAACCATTTTCTGATCCGGCTGGCATCTGAACATGAGTCGAACGATATCGATGGCGCCCTGTGAGCAAGCGAGATGTACCGGAGTCGAGAGATCGTGTTGTTGGGTAGAGATGAACGCGCCAGATTCCAGACAGAGCTCTACCGCTTTCAAATCACCTGTAGGAAATCCATGCCCAATCGAGGTTAGTGACTTACTCCGACAAAAAATCCCCGCGGGAGTTTGCGTATGTTCCGGATAATCGATAGGGGATTAGGAAAGATGTATCGGTGAGGAACGGAATCCCGATTTCCAATTCGTTTCCTGTGTCCCTGAAAGGATCTTTCGAGGAACAAACGAGCAGAGGGCGACGAACGAAAATCACGATGATCTCTTCGTATCGTCATCGACGACGTTTTCTGTCCTTCGAACAGTGCTTTCGACATTCTATTTTCAGACCACCGAGCGGGACCGTGTACGCGAGGAGTGAAGGATGCAATTCCGTCTCTCGGTATTCTTCTCAGCCACCGGCTTGCCGACTTGCGTCAGATTGGACCTCGGTCGGACATCGCGCCGTGTCCTGAAATCCTCGATCTCAGTTCGGCTAGTGGGGGGCCCTGGTCGCGGTGTGACGGATGTCATTTGCAGCGACAGGAAACGATATTCGAGACGAATCCGGAAGACCTCCACCAGCAGCAATCGCGTCTGCTGGGTGATTTGCAAGAAGCTCGCTCAGGCTCTGTCTTCGAGGTGTGTTTCTCTAATGCAGGATCATTATACCTACTTTGTGCCGCAATGACTGTGAGGAGGTAGTATGCGCATGTGCCTATCGTATCAGTGTCAGTCCAGAGCTTAATCTGCGGAAAAACGGGAAGAATTGTTCTGCACGTCTCTCACGGCGGGCGCGCCATCCGCTCGTAATGCAAGCTCTGGGAATGGTAAACCGATAGATAGGAACAAGCGGCGCAACGAGGCGGGGAGCGGAGCGGTCCGCGCCGGGCATCAAGATACCGTGGGCGAAAAAATACCCGATGGGACTGCCAGAGACACAAGTTTTCTTCAAAGCTCAGCTCTTTAGAATGGAGGCTAATATTGACTTTACACGGCGCGCAGAAGGGTACAACGATAAATTCGGGAAATATTTGGGAAAGAAAAACTGAGGGGCATCAGCTCGAGTCCTGGCTCGGCATTCGAGGAATCTGCCCCGGGCATCATTGAGGCAAGCTACGCCGTTCCGCTGGCATGGAGATCGATAATAATGAGGAATTTCGAGTCAAGGATCTCGGCGATGCCGTGCCCTTGATATCTGCATCTAGATCCAGTTTCGGGCGCGAAGGCCACCGAGCCCCCTTCCCCAACTCGTTCGACTCACAGGCAGGGAGTACCACGCAGCAACGAGGAAAGGCAAACGAATCTGACTTAATTACTTTCTTGACGCGCTTCGATCCCGGATATTCGGCTGTACGTGGTGAGCTCCGGTCCACAATCGCCTCCTTCTCGGGAACATCTGATTGAGACTGGCTCTTATTCCTCATGGACATCGGTTGGGCTGCGAAGATCGCCGAAGCGTTCGACAGATAGGGAGCCTCGGCAATTGATCTCAGGCCCCGATCGCGCTCGAAAATTCCAGCTCTGATAAAGAATGGCGTTGAAAAATGCAACTTTCTACGATGTCGATGGCGGAGTTCAGGCCCCGGAAAATCTCCGCGTTTTCCGCTGAATCAGTAGTCATTGATGGCAGTGCATTCGACTCAGAGATATTCTTTCAAAGGTGCGGCGGCGAGTCATTTCGACGAGGACCGACCGCAATCGACGAGGATTTCCAGAAGGCAGGCTCCATCGGACAAATAAATGTTCTCACTGGTGCTTGGATGAATCCACGAAGCGTCCACGCGCCTCCGCCAAGCCGCCAACTTCGTGTGGCTTCGATGGAATCGAGGTACTCAAGCCCCGCGCCTTCATATTCAGTGGAAATGTGGCGTTCTCCGGCGGAGAATCTCCGCCGAGCTTTCCCCTTGGTTTGAATACTCGAGAGCCTCCATAGTTCTCCTCGTTCCACTAGCCTATGGATTCTCCCCACAGTGTTTGTCTCTCGGGTTCGGACGAGGAGATAGCGGCCTGCAGCCATCCGGAGACATCATTCCTCTAGGAATTTTACGTGTTTGCGGATTTCTGCGACAAATTACTCGATCGGAGGAATAAGCTTGTTCTCTGATTCGTGTTTATGGAGAGGGGAAACGCCGCGGTGCGGCCCCTCGCTCGGCTGCCTCTGTCACGTTTCCCAAGCGACGTCAGACCTTACGAAGACGTGCTTGAAACCCCCCGGTCTCGAATGATCGTCGTGAGCGAGAGGAGGAGCTCGCGGAAATTCAAACCGGAATCGAAACAAAGGAACCGAGGAAAGGGGATTTTAATGGGATGTGCGGCCCATGACCGGAATGACTTACCTGCGTGCACGGCCGAATGTAGTGGCACGTTCCCCTCAGCGTCGAAGAGTTTCATCATTTCGGCTCGGGGGCATCCGATAGACTCTCCGAACTCGAGCAGGGCCCGCATCGCGTTGGCGGAAGCATTCTTCGCAGCTTCATGAATCGGATAAAATCCGTTGTCGCACGTTGTTTTCGGGGAAGCACCATGGTCGCGCAACTGATGAGTGAAAAAAAACCGGTCCTTTCAATCCGCCATCGATCAACCGCTAACTTCATGCAGAGGAGCTGCGATCGCTTCAGGTGCCGATCGCATCGACTCATGGTTAGGTCGAGCATTCATTCGTTTTGATACCGGCCGATTCAGCCTTACCGGAGCTTCGCTAAATACCTCAACGTGTCATACTGAAGAACTGTTTTTCTTTTTTCAAGAATAAGAAATGGAAAATCATTCCGGCATTTCACAGAACGTCAAAGGTCCATCGGGGCCCCTGAATTTAGAAATGTTCTCGGGATAAAAACTCACGAGAACCAATGCAGCCTCCGCGTTGTCGAAGATGCATGCCAAATGCAGCGCCGTCCTCCCATGTTTACTCCGCATCTCGACATCGAATTTCGATTTGAAGTCGCACAGTGCTTTCAGAGAGCCCACCTACGCATGAAAACGGCGCGATAATGACATGAGTGTTACTCAGCGAGAGATTTTCTTCTTGTCAGTCGCGTCAGCCCAGTGATTGGCTGGACGGAGAGACAGAGGGGAGCTGTCGCGACGTTCGGCGTCGCTGTAGCCTTGAGCGATTGTTAACGAAGGAGTCTCAATCAAGTTACCTCGACGGCTTGGAATAGATTCTCATTATTGAAAGAATGCCGTCAGAAGCTATGGCGATTACAGAGACTCGAGTTACGAAATCGAGACATCCGAAGCATCATGAATCAAAGCTTATGACCATCGCAGGATGCACGGAACGTGCGCGGACGGACGAACGCAACGGAATTATTTTTAACCTTGTTCAGCTGAGTGGCGAGATGGAGCGGCGCTTGGAACTCCTTGTTGTAACATTCCAGTTGTTCAGGGTCATGGTTTATGAAAAGCGCGATCGCTTTCACCGAGTCGCGCATACAGGCTGAATGCAAAGGTGTGTTCCCTGGAAGAATGCGTCAGCCTCAGAAAAGATCATCACATCGACAATTTCCCGACCAGCAGCACGGACACGGACGATTCCTATCCTATAGTAATTTCACACCCAGGTTTCACGCGACTTTTCCGAGGAGTCGCGTCGAATAATTTTCTCCAGTGAGGCGCGGAGCACCCGGGTCTTGGAAGGCGAGCTCAGATGTTTCTCTCGATACCGCTCCGTCTATCGGCGCATACGTCATCCCACCCATACCGCTCCGACGTCATCGCCCTAGCGTTTGCGATTTATACTGCCATGTAAGTGTTCCAATGCTCCGAACCACACTCGTGAGAACGTACTCCGGGGGTCTTTTCTTCTCCGATGACCGCTCGAACCACGGGAAACCCGGAGAGTGACTTCGATACGATCGGCAGCGTCATAAATTGCAGGATCTGTCGCAGCCTATTCGCCACTCGCAATCGGTGGCCAAGGTCATGCTTCATCTTTCTCCGCCGCCTAGGCTCCTTTTATTTCCCGAACGGGGATAGTTGGCCACCCGTGACCCGCGTCCAGATACCACGGTGGTCAGATGCCACCATTCGGCAGCGGGCTGGTCGGACACACTGAGGGAACGATACGGGAAGGTGTTGGCTTCCGTATTTGGCTGCTCGACGTCTTCCTTTACATACCGCGGAGATTTCGAGACCCCGATATATGGAGAAGGAAAATAACGGAAATCGCAAGTCGGAGCCGACGCGGAACTCGAGATCCTCGGCGAAGTTCAAGACGGTAAGACTGCAGAAGCGGATCTCTGCGCGATTCGTCCTCGGGCTCGCGTCTGAACTAGGATCGGAGGAGCTCACCTTCGTTGTCAACCGGCCGGAGGTCCGCGTTGGGCCGACCGAGAATGTATTCCAAGATGTTTATGCGGTCGTTCAGGGCAGCGTGGTGAACAGCCTGTCTCCCTTGTGAATCTCTGAACTGCAGACGGCGCTCATCAGCTGCGAGGAGCCGTTGAAACTCGGCCAAGTTCCCTTTCTCGGCCGCCTGCAAATACGAATTTTTTCGAGGAATAATAACCATCTTTACCTCAACCTTGTATTGGAGACTTTTCCCAGTGAGCTCAGCGGCGACGGAACTATCTACATCGACCTTATAGTTCTACGGGACGAAAACGTATCCGTCTTTGTCCTTGTCGGAGGATTTCCGCTCTTCGAGCTGAGCTCCCGGATGGGTGTTCTCATTTAGCTGTCGCGGCGATAAAGTCCTGGAATCTCGGACCTACTTGAGATGCGCGAGCCGGAACTAATCACCGGCCGACTGCCGAGAGCCCTCGAAATCCATCCGAGGCTAGGAGGCAGTGGTCTTCCAGCGGACGAAAAAAACAATTTCCACGGGGCGTTCGCGAATGATGAGTAGCTACCTATCAGCCGTCATTTTCGACGCCGTCCTCATCTCGTGGCCGCACTCTCGACGGCCAGAACGGGAGGGAAGGGGTGTGTTTGATTAGCCAGCGGAAGAAGTCATACATTTCGTCCATCCGACGTCGTTTGTTAACGGGGGATGTATTGGCTGAGGTCATTGATTACGGTTGCATCGGATTGTTTGGTCGCGTACGGAGGGAAAGGAAATTGCTCCGAAAGACCATTGCTACCGTCCTGCGAGCAACCTGCGAGATATTAGACACTAGGAGGTGCAAGCTATCTATAGCGTGGAAACGAAGCCGGACGATGTCAGCCTCTCTCTTTCGATCGGTTTAATTCGAATTCCGATCGTGGAAGCTTGCTTTGGCTTCTCGACATTTCCTCGGGCATCGCCAGCGCGACGAGCAGCACACAGAAGCACTGCGTAGAGAATCGACGCTGGGGATGCATCGGTCGTGAGGCTAGTGCGCTTCTCCCTCTAGTGAGTGAGGAAACTCATTCCCCATCGTTTCCAGTGGACGACATTTCTCGCCGACCACAGCACCTTGTCTACAGGCCCTCACTCGGAGAAGAAAGCGAACCGAGATGACCGACGTCCGCGCAAAGCCTTTCGGTTTCGCCCTCGCGGGGAAAATTCTCAATCACCCAATGAAACCTCCGAGTCCAAAATAATGATGCTTTGCTTGTTAAGCACCGCTCACACATGTCGGACCAATGCTCCAAGTGTCGAACCCTTGTCAAGCGAGCTCGAGCTCAGCTGACCTTCTCGTGAGCTTTTTTTCGAGGCCGATGAAGAAACTCTAAGAAAACTCAATTTTTCGAACAATCGAATGGTGCTCTCTAGGCGCATCGATCAGGTGAAGCTCCACCGAAAATCGGATCTGAATGTACTCAGAGCTCGACAACTAGTTTGAGCTGGACCCACGCAAGAATATGTAGGACAGGATTGGGTCTAAGGTACGCTCGCTGTCACGTCATTGTGACGGGCAGGTGCTTCGGTGGCAGAAACTCGAGTCCGGCTGTATTATTGTTAGTCCTGGCGAGCCGACCCCTCAGCCTGAATAATTAGCGAAAAATGAATTGAATTCGTTCTCGCGGAGCGAGCGCAACAAGATAAGGTTCGAATAGGGAACCGCACTCGCCCAAGCTCGATTTATCCGTCTCCCGACACAGACGATGCTAATCCGCCTTGTTCGCTCTCCGATCGCAAGCTAATACACACTGCCTTATATGGTTTCGTCGATTGCATCCGACGTCCCCCCCGGACGCGTAGATGGGAGACTCCATCGGTAGCCCGGGCAGGACCGAACCTGTTTTGTACTTCCGCCCGGAAAGGACTGACATTCGGAATGAAATGCAACCCTCAGCGTCAATGTCAGTCTCCTCGAAAAAGTATTGGAGCGGAGCTCGACAGCCGAGACAAACATCACGGATGCGTCTCGAGTCGAAGAGATTCCCATCGCGAATAGACCGCGCAACCGCCGTCGCTAGAATCGACTGATCGACAGATTCGTTGTCGCTCGGTGGACTTGTGGCTCCTTCTGAGTTCACCATCGTCACGGATAGTTCATTCCACTCAGAGCCCTCCTCCGGAGATTTCGAATCGTCTTACCTCCAGGAGCTCTTGACAACTTTTGAAATCCACAGGCAAGGGATAGAAACGTTTTTTCAAGTCGAGGATCCGGGCCACATTCAAGAAAACCATCGGATCTTTGATGATTGGTCTCATTTTGATCCTGAAAGTGTCGTCCTTGAATATCCGGCGGGTCATTGGTCTTCACTCGCAGGTTGAGCGATCCTCCTGGTCAGCGCTCGCCGAACCCCATGGAGTCAAGTCTGAGCGGAGATCGTCGGCGACATCGTTCCAGACATTTCACAAGCTAATCCGGCGAAAAGTATCTAACGAATCAGTCACGTTCGAACAACACCGGGCTCACGAAACACAACCTTTTAGGGTTCCTCGGAGGGAACCTATGCCATATGCCTTGGAACATACTAGTTGTCAGAGGCCTTCTCCCCATGGGAAAGGGAGTCTGATTGAGAAAGGACTCGCCAAGCATTATGAAAACTAGAACCTCCACATGTCGCGAAATTCGGAAATAAGCTAAAAGATGTCCCACGTAAGCGACCGATGTCGCCCCAAGCCCCGGTATTTTGATCGGATCATTAATATCCGTCCCGAGTTGCTTGACGACGACGAGTGACTGGCCGGACGATGTTCCAGGCTCGTGCGCGCGCTAATACGGCCGCCCTGGAGATACCAGGATCGAAGTAATCAGTCTAGCATCGGCACTCATTTCTCCGGACCCTTTCTCTATCCATGTCGCCCGTACTCCTCAAACCGTAATTAGGTCAGTGAACTCACTCAGACCCCGTCCAGCTAGGATCCCGTGCTTCCCGAGTGGCGAAACACGGGACTCCGGGAAACACGGGAGAGAGGAAGCGTGGAGTAGCACTCGGGTTTCCGACAAGAGTACTTGAGGGAGAAGAACGCGGAGAGAAGAAAACTCACTTTCAGGATTCGGTTTGGGCTGTTGCGAATGTCACAGGTGGCACCGCACGCGCCCGCCTTCGGTGCTTTGTTGCTCCCATCCGCAGCCATCTCAGGAACCATAGGTAGGAAACGATGGCTCGTTGGGACCACTTTAGTTTCGAGGAGGTCATCCTGGAAAGCACGATCATTTCCATCAATCTCAAGTCGGACCGATAAATACACCAATGAACCCGAGGCTCTCCCGAGACTGTGAAGGCGTAGCGCAAATGAGTTGCGGGGAATAAACCTCCGGGCTTGCCATCATTCGGTGGTTGAAGGAGAAGGCCAATCGGATTGCTCGACTTACATCGTATTCATCCTCGTCTCCGTATCGACAGGTGATTGTTCTGAAAGCTGACGACAAGACCCGCTGCAGACCTCGACGTTGTGCAATATCTGGAGTCATATAATTCTGGTGTTGTTTCTCAGGAAGAGCTCTCTCGATGAAATCCTGCAAGGAGCATACCGGCTCGTAGACTACGCGTGTTTATGCATCCGTCTCCTGCGGAAGAATCGCCTCTGGAAGCTACCTTGGCGGCCTGCTGTTTTTTCTTCCCTGCTGATGTGACGGCATTGGTGATTATGTTGCCTGGGAGCACTTTATTGTCCGGAGCGAAAGGAGCTGAAATCGTCAAAACGTTTATACCTTCCCACTTCCCACTTGCGTCGGAAACTCGAAGGTTGTTGACATGAGCAGACGCGATCAACAATGGAGACTAGTTCGGCGCCGAGAATCTGAAGAGGACGTCCAGTAGGACGACCAACGAGCTCACCGGCGCCCCTCACTTCTCCGTGGAAAAGCACTACCGTTCCGAGCCAGGAGGAGTCCTTCAAGCGTCCTGGGGTGCTCAGCGTCGAAAATTTCTCCTTTCTGCTCTTCGAAACGCGATTCCGGGAACGACAGTCAACTCCAATTGATCGGGCACTTCCCCCATCCGAACCAAATCCGGATCAGCATGGGTGGGAGCGGCATGTATCCTCAGATCGATGAGTATCTCCGATACGTCCATGTTTTCATATCTGATACGATTGGTGTACTCGAGGCAAACAGTCGAGTTTAGTTGTGATGAATTCTCGAATATTTTTGACCATGTTCGTAAGATTCTATTTTGGTCAGCAACTTTGTCACGCAAACGTTGACGAAATCGGACCCTTGTCGAAATCGACGCCGTGCCGGTCGAAATTCGGCTCCCGAATGCAAATCCCGTAGACTTGCGGGGCTCTATTGTGGACTTAACTTCATTTGAATCGCGAACACAGAGGAAACATAAGGGATCTGAGAGGCCTTATCGAGAATTCACGTGTGACGGCTCACAAAGACTCAATCATGACGTTGCATGGTCCAGGTAGGAAGGGGAGCTGTAGGGGTCGCCGTATGTTCACTCGAAGGAGAACATTGTCCGGGACTGGGACGTGGGGCAGATTCCGATCGCGGAATGAGCGATAGAGTCTCAGTCGAATATTCGAGAAGTTGATCGAAAGCTCCACAAGATGACAGAGCGACCGCTCTTGTGCCGGAATTTCTCACCACTGACTTACCTGTGATCTGGAAACCTCTCATGATGGATTCGCAGCCTAAATTTCCCTTCGTCGCGCCGGTATGCCTGCACAGTGTCTGAACTCGTTCAAATGGTCAAGCGTTCATTGCCAAGGTTGAGTCCTTCCTTAAGGCCAATCAATACCGAACCTCCCCCGGAGCTTAACTGATCAGACCGCGGTCTCTCTCATAGAGGGTATATCGGCACTGGCAGCTGCGCTCAGAACGGAGTCGCGACGGGAAAGATCTACGCCTATGCTTAGACTTCATTAGCTGCCAGTCGGACGGAAACAACAAGTCGGTCGTAGGTTGGCACCTTATGAATTTTCATAGACGAGTTGAAACTCAATTTATGTCATTGATTCGCCAACATCGAGGTCAAGGCCATGGGAGCTGGCATCGGGTTGCGTGGCATTCCCGACGAAGGACTTTTCTCCCGGACAGACCGTCGAAAGATCACTACCTCCCGTGACGTAGGCGATTTTGGAATGATTCCCCGATTACTCTCAGTCGGGAGGTTTTCGGGTGCGTCCGATGCACTCCTCTGGAATTACAGCCCGACCTAGGCGTGGCCAATTATTCTGAGCTATTTGCAGAGATGACTGAAGGCACACGGATTTCGAGACAACGGGAGTCGGAGATCGGACGCGCTGAACAAGTGGAGTCAAGCGGAAACCGTTCCGACTAAGCGAGGGAAGAGCGGGTTCCGAGATACTCGAATTGCATTTCCATCCTTAGGAGAGCACCTCCCCGATCCAAAATGAGAGGGGAGCGGGGCTTTGAACGATATGCTGCTCGCGTTCTCAGTCTTGCGCAATTCGCAATTAGCAGCACTCAGAGGAAGACGATTGCAAGCGTGTAATGTTGACACTGATGTGACTCACCGTTCACTCCATTTTTGATGGAGTCCTTAGCACCGATGTGGAGCATCTGAGCTTCCATTGCCGACTGCTACGGACCGCGGGTCTCGTTGCCGAGAGATCTGTTGCGGCTACGGCTGCTGAATATTGGAGCCCAATCAACAAATGTCCATCCTGCTAGCTATGCCCGAAGGGAGGTGATCGGCCCCACTTTCTCTGCTGCCTACCTTCCCCCTCACACCACCGCTGATATACCCTTGGGTGTTGCTTGATTGGCTTTTTGTGAGTCTGCGACGTGCAGAGAAGTTTGTCTTTCGGGAGGTGCGGAGACTGAGAGCGATCCTCACAAATATCCCTCATCGTATGGAATGGCTCCCCGGGAAGGATCAACGGGGAAATCCTCAGAGAATTAGTGAGTCATGATACTAATAATAATATTTTATAATGAATACTCTAATGGGGAAGGTCGGCCCGAGGTGGTAAATTGCTAAGATCATCGGTTTTCTGGAAATCGCGGGTCCGGGTCGACACAAACGAAGTACGGAACGAGAGACTTGGAAACTTCTTACATAATTTATTTTCTTGTCGAGGTACAGAAACTGGTCTTGACAATAATATATAATATATATTTCATTCATACCTAATAAGAATATCCGGGATGATTTTTACCATCATCGTGATCATGATGATAATACTGTCGGTGGGATAGAATTAGTCGCAACATTGTGAGGGCATAATGCCTCACGGAGTTCCACCGAATGGGATGCCGCGATGAAGAGTGATGATGATGATTGTGAGATATTCCATGTGTGCGCCGATGACTCCCTATACGTCGAAATAGTTTTGGCTTGATACGTTACTGCAATTTTCCTAATTACAATGCAAAATCGTGAAGAATGAAGTAATTCGGGTGGGCGAGGGAAATGATCAAAACGGCTGGAGGAAGCTAAGGCATATGACTTTGGTTTTTTCAAAACGTGGCACCGCTGAGGGGAGAACGGAGAGCCAGGACCGCGTGACGTTTCGAGAGACTCTTCCATAACTTGGAATCAGGCCGATCTGTGCTCCGATGCTCGCATCTGTTAGGAAACTTATGATCGAACCACACTGAGTCAACTCAGCACATCTCTCGGGTTTTCGTGCCGGTCCTGCAGCAGCGGCGGGGGCGACGTGGGTGGTGGCATGAAAGATCGGTGATATTCCGATGTGCAGGGGAATTGCAAAGCCAGTTCCGAATATGTCGGGTAAGCGAGCGAGAAATGATAAGGATCCATGGGCTCTATGTAGGTCGGTCTGGGTACCGACCGCAGGTAGTTAGCAGCCGATATCAAGTGGCTGACCTCGTCCGTGTTTGTTGGGGTCAAACTCTGCTCTACATCTGCCAAGGCAGCGGCTTCTTCGTCCAATTGGTATTTTGCCGATTGTCGAAATACAGGCGCTGTGGCGGCCGTTGCGAGAGCCAGACTCCCATAGAGGTATCCGCCGCCGGTCCCCCCACTGGAGGGGGGTGTCAGCTCCGTGAATTGGGGAATGCCGGAATGCATGATCGGTTGTGGGTAATGGGGTACCGGTTGCTGGGGGTGCGGAATTATCGTGTGTCCATGTGAATGAGGATGGGGATGTGCAAATGCTGGGATTTTGGGCAGGATCTTCTCATCGTCCGGACTTATCGACCGTTTGATTCCACTGCCCTGGATGACTTGAGGTGACCATTTGGGCACCTGCGTCGGGGCTGGCACTGCTTGCGATGGGGTTGGGTATGCGGAAACGGACGAATAGTGGGGCGTGGGGACGCCAGGCGATGGCGAGGAATAAGGCACAGGTGAATATTGACTACTGCGTTGATGACTCGACGGAGACGCTGGCTGCATCGGTGGGTCGTTGTAGCCCAAATTGTAGGACATTTTCGAGTGCAGCGAGTAATACTGATATAGCCAACTGTTCTGTCGCATGACGTATGCTTCTTGTTCACTGCAAAGAGAGAAATCGACACAGATGTTAATCGATCACACAGTCTCAAGTCTTCGAAATAGGAATCCCCGGGAGGTACTCGGTGATTATTGGGGAGGTCGCTCCGGATGTATATCGGCACCGTTAATCGTATTCAAAGGGGAGACCGATCTTTCGATACGATCAATGCCGTTTCCGTCTCCAAGCTTTTCCCTTGTCTCACCTCAGAACTTGGTTTGTGCACACGATGACCGACTGTTGTGACGAGTCGGATGACGATGATTCCTTCACTTGCAACACACAATGAATCCACAACCATCCTTGGCTGAGGGTTTGTAACCGTAGGAGAAGGATACAACTTCTCTCTTGCTCGTTTTGGGTTACTGTGAAAGATGAGAAGCAACTCAGTCAGCACCGCCTTGGATTATCTCCGTGCCGATCGTCCAGCTTGGCAATACGGAACGAGTTCGCTTATTCCTACAGACTCGAATGCGAATAATTGATATGGAGATACTCACTCAGCTTATGTTTGCTCTGCGCTTCGGTGAGATGTTCCCAGTGAACGAATTCGTACCAGCTGAGGCCGTGCAAACTATTCCTCTGGTAACCGAGGTGGTAATCACCGATCGCGTCCAGATGCAGGAACTTCATGTCCATCGAGTGGATACTCGTGAATACGAGGGTGCTGCCTTGGACGACGCACTCCCGAGTTTCGGGCATTGCGACCGGCGTACACGTGGCGAGGAAGACTGGTTCGTTGCGCGAACAGAGCGGTAGATATCCGACGAAATGGCCCTGCACAAGGACAACCTTCTGGTCTCCGAAACGCATCTGACGGCGAGCGTTTCGAGATACATTCATGCGACAGAGGAACGTGCGTGTTTCTGAAGGAAGAGGGTTGCGGGAGAGTTCCGCTTGGATGTTGGCGTGATCCTGTTTCTCGATGATGTCGTAAACTGAATCTCCGTGAATCAGCAGGTCTTCCTGCAAGAACGGGAGAAGAATACGTTTTTAACACGCTGGGTACAAGATTGAGAGGAGACGGAGCTTGCCGCGTGACCCGTACTACCGATTGTCCGTCGATCTCGAGGGCTCAGACATTCGAGGAGCGCCATTCTCGTCATAGAGAGCTCGGATCTCAAGAGCCACCTCTCGGTTCCGCTGTTCTGAACAAGTATGCAGACGAGGTAATTTATTTAGATTGCTTGACACGGGAATATTACACTGTCATCGGCTATTTGGAAACCGGAACCTCCGGCAGATTGGTTCGGCCATTCGCTCCTTCGTTCGTTCCTCCGCTGAATCGCTCGCTCTATTTCGGCGTCAGCACTCGATGAAAACGGCAGCCTTCGGCAAATTTATCAAAGGTCCGACTTTGCCGAAGTTGAGCATCTGTCAAACTCAACCAGACCGTGATTGAGTGTTAACGAGTCGGCTCCCGGAGCAACAAGAGAAAATAAATAAATGTAACCGCTAATAAAATCGTTCTTTGCTCTGGTCCAATTACACTTGACTTTTCGTTACAGCCTGCCCGTTTTCTGCAACACGGGCCGGTTTCGAAAATTCTCGTCATCGCTTGCAGTCGTTCGACACGGAGAGAATACGGAGAGATCTACCAGAATCGGGATGATACAATTTGTGGATGACTCGATTAGCGAAGATCCGGGTGGGTCAGGCCCGAATGACAGAAAGGGAAGACGTCGTCCCGGATGTTTTGTTTGCGGATCGCTCCTTCTAAAGCTCAGCTTCATCAATTCACAGTCGGAATCCTGGAAGTGGCTTCTGATTCTTCCACGGTCGATTAATACTGCCATCGCCAGAGTATTCGCGGTCGAAGACCGCAGTCAATTCGGAATGCTTCTTCGGGCGAGAATTGGTGCTGATGGCGCTCTTGAGAATTCGCTCCCTCAGATCCGATATCCCAAAGCCCACTCATCTCGATCTAGATTGACTCTTCCTCGAGCGCTAGGTGACCGCGATCCCCCGGAACGGGGCAATCGGAAAAGCTAAACCGAGTTCTCGTCTCCTTTGCCCAGGAGCGCACAACTCGTGTTCGGGAGCGTTCGAGACAAGTGTGAGTTGGGCAATCGAGAGAAGTTTCACGCAATTATTTACCCTACGTAATGGGAATGTTTCAGTCCGCGTCGGTGTGACTCGCTTCGCCGATACCTCCGCCAAGTTTCAGAAGCATCGGTCCAATTCGCGAGAGAAAATTACACGAGACGCCAATGACTACTCGACTAACCGACTCCAGTGTTTTTTTTTCTGCTCCCGTGACCACCACTGTGGTCGAAAAGCTCCACTAGGATTCATTGGATCCGTATCATTTTCTGTCTTTCTTCTGTATCTGTCTCTTGCGAGAGCCCGGGCGACTCACCGTAGTCCTATCCGCGCCTCCACTCCGAAACACAATTCGAGGCAGCTCTGACTGACGTTCGAGTTCGAGTTTTCCGGCTGACTGAGCCAAAGCACATCGTCGAATTCGGGAACCTCACAATGAGAGTAAGGGAAACATTTGCTCACGGACACACCAACTCATGTCACAGAGCAAATGTTAGACTCGGTGGGTCCGCGAAGACTTAATCTTGATTTTTGTTTGAGGCCTATTCCTCGATCACTTGCTAGGTTTATGTTCAGAGCGAGTTTCTGTTGACGCTCTTTAAGAGTTAGCGACTCGGCCGGCCCTTCGCTTAGCTAGCCGAGGAGTAAACGAATCGATCCTCGCGCAGGTGTGCGGCTTCTCAAAATTAGACGTTATCCAACACAGAAGCCCCCCGGCTACTGTATTCTCGCGACTAACGGGATACATCAATGCCGAAATAGCTTTCTTCGAATGAATGTTTCAATCGAATCATTGCTGCTTAAAATCCCATGCACGGCTCGTTCAGAAATATATTTCGAAAACACCGATAACGATTATGGTACCGTTATCCTTCCGAACTGATGATAATTATTCCTTCCCACAGGAATCCTCGAAGGCACCAAGTGCCTAGGACAGCCATGATGCTAAGATCCCCGAAACCCCGCCCTACATCTCGTAATGTGGGGTGATGTTCTGGCGATCAGCTATGTCGATCCCGGAGCGGAAAAATTAGGAATGGACTGGCGTAAATGTTCCGTGCCGTTATAAATGAATTTCGAACCTTCGACGACCACAGGAGGAACTCCGGCCTCTAGCAGAAGAATGACTCGAAGCGTCAGAACAAAATCGCCACTCGGAAATGAGATTACACACGAGTAATTAATCTGTTTCACGCTTCTGCAGTCGGTCAGTGAGTAATCACTTAGAAGGCAGCTGACCCGCTGCAAACGGAAAAGCCGGATCTGGAGCCGATTTTTCATTTGCTGATTCCTTTTTTCGAAGAGACGATCGTTTTTTTCAAAATTCCGGAATAAAGACAACGATCCCTCCCGCGACTACCGACGACGGTGGAAAGTAACGTGAAAGCATCATGTGTTGGATATCATACTGATTTCCGTAGAAGTTCCCCATTTGGAGCAACCCTCGGCACGGGAAGGATTTTTTATGCCAGTCCTGAATATGTCACTACGTATTCGAGCTCGTCAATGCGCGGCCGCGAGAGAATTTGACGGAGCCAAACTTCATGACGATGACGCGATGCGGAGATCCAGTCGAGCAGCGAATATCAATCAATAATTTTCAGAGCTGCGAGCAAGGCAGGAAAAAAGCGTACACCGGTGATTTTTGAGATGCTGCTCGGAATTCGATTTGATAGACAATTATTTCCGACATGTGCATTTTTCCCTCTGTTGTAGTCGTCTCCGACGTCTGCGATGTCATCGTCGGGAACTTGAGCGTCCAGTCGCATGTCGACCAATCGTCTCAGCGAGCGACAAGCGAGCGGCCGACATCGAATCATGTCCGGAGGAGGAACTATCGCAAGACCCCGACGAAGCGATTTCTTCCCACCGCCAACAGCAAGCCACACCATGTTGTTTAGAGACGAGCATCGGTGACGTCAGCGCGGGTGTCCGGAGTTGGAAACGAATTGTCAAAGGCGAAGCGACCAACTGTAAGAGGGCGCCAGGCTCCATATATAAAATGAAAAACGCACTGCCCCCAACGACATGCCACCGCTGGTTGCGGCCGCAACAGCAGCATCCGGGTCTTTGGCGGTTGTTGGTGATGTGGTGGATGGTCGGTCGCGTCATCAGAAGCAGAAAAGAGGAGAAAAAGAAAACCAAGCAGAAGATGGAGACGACGAAGTTCGAAATTGACCACAGGCCGACGCGAGCGAGCGAACGACTTCTGTCGATGAAGACCACGAAGGGAACCGCGTCCAAGAAGGCAGCGGCCGCAGCCACGGCGGCAACAACAGCGAAAGCCAATGTGACGAGAACGGATCGACCGACAGAAGTTGCCGCACAACAAGCAGAAACCCATGTCGAGGACGAGACGTGACGAAAATGAAAGACGATCCGACTGTTTGAGGATCTGTCTCGCCACCTCTGCACCTCCATCTGCATTGATATTTAGCTCACTCGAACAGATCCATATCAATGCGTTCGAGCCCAAGCGGCACCGCATTTTCCGTTGCGTGCGCATTGCCGACCGCAAGGTAAATGCCTGGTACGAGTTGTACGCGAGAACTCTTGGGTATTCCGAAGCGCGGGAGCCGCAGCGCAGTCCTTGTTCCCGATAATTTTTCTCGTATAATAACAATTATTGTGAAAAAGAAAACGCGGTTTGCGATGAGCCCCATGATGACTCGTAGACTGAAATTAATGAAGTAGGAAATCGATAAGCACAATGAGGACATAAATCGAATTACAAGTCACGAGCTGTGCTGTCTAAACAGGAGGCGTGCTCGCCGCAGGCTTCGCACGTCGACGATGTCGTCGTCGGTGTAGTTTGCAAACCAACTGCGGAATTCAAGCGCCGCCGTCGAGGCGGCCGGCTGACCATTCGAGCGAATCAAGGCGGTGCTCCCATGTTGTGATAACGGTAAACATTACCAACGGTTTTCGTCGCAGTCTACGCATGATTCAAATTACTTATGTTCTCGCACGTTTTCTGTGACTTCGTCCCGAGGACTGCGCGATTTTGACGGGGGAGCTGCCTGATTTTCCGTAACGCGATCGGCGATAGCATTCGCAGTTAAGAGCACGTGTACTTAAGAGCCTTTGTCAGAGGCGAATCTTCTAGATCCAGGAGGATCGATAGCCGGGACAGGCTTTCAGAAACACGCAGAATCTTCTGATTCAGAGTTTTACTCACCATCGAGTGACCGAGGTATTCAGCGGCGTTATCCGATATGTAAAGTAGTTTCCCATTTTGCGTCAGCATGATCAGGAAACCGCTGAGCGCTTTTGAAAATCCAAATTGAGGCATCGGAATTTCGCTTGCGTACTCGTTGAACTCCTTCAGCACTGGAAGAAATCAGACGAAGAAAATTTTTAATAATTGAAGAGGATCAGAGCCTTTTGCCCCTTACTATACGATTCTCATTGATGTCTCGGCTGAGTTGCGGCTTCGGCGGCCTTCAGCTGCTCTCGCTCGATATCAGCTCATCTCTACGATTTAACGTGAAGTTTAAGCTCTACAGTGGTGATTCAGCTCCCTCGCTCCGACTGTTCGAGTGGCGCACCAACAACGACTTGTCAACGGCACGAACGAACCACAGCCTGAGAGAAATCGCCGAGCCCGCCGAAGAGCCGTAAAGCGAAATCACTTTATCCAGCCATTCTGGCGTTTACACTCCTCACGCGAACGGGGAATTCACTACGTCGACGGGAGAACGTCCAAATGTGTGAAAGTGTTCAATCGATAACACGACGTAAAATCGGCTTACGACGACATCGACTCCGATGCCCTTCCATTGACATGCGAGATGAGCGTTTTCTGATCGCCAGAAGGATGTCCGAGCTTTCGACTCACGACGAATCGGGTGCACGGTGAACTCTTCTCAGCCGGGGGTTCCTTCCAATAGCTCCTCTAATATTGCCATGGAAGGAGGTCTCGAGGAGTTTGGGAGTGCCATGTTCCGCTCCCCGAGACTGAGGGGGCGACTTGGATTTCGGCACCGCTGCTAGCAAGGGTCGTGCATCTGTTTGTTCGAGCAGTGTTCCTCTCTGGAGTGGTTATTGTATGTTGTTGTGGCGGCTGCTTCTACAGCACATAAAATTTTACTACGCGAACAAAAGCTGAGAAAGACCACCCCAGGAGAGGAAGAGAAAGAAGAGAATAGGAGTGAAGACAGAAATTGGACTTCTGCTTTTGAGTGACGTCTGCCGATTTGAGTCGGCTATCTTCAGCTCAATTTAGAAAAAAAAAGGCAAGACGACAACGCGAAAGACCACGTCAACAACGTCGATGGCGACTTGGGACAAACCAATCGCTTCAGTTGCCTGTAAGGTCACTTCTGAGGCGCGAATACGCACGTAATTTAGCGTGAAAATCAACAAAACAGAAGCTGGCGTTGCTTCGGACGCTGCTGCCTCCAGCAACTGCACAACTAGCAGCATCAGCAGCAAATTGCATCGCAACTTCGGGATGCGTGAAGACAAGCGCGGTGATTCTCTTCAGGCCATCGCCATCGATTCAAGCGACTTCCCTTGGACGACTCGAATCGAAATCATCGTCACAGGATTGAGATTCTTCGGCTCGCTCTGCCAGGATGGAACGCGATGCTCCGAACACCTATGGCGCACTCCAGTCCGTTCAGGAAGCGATGAACGAGAATACCGGAGATCCAGCCCAACACACCGTCGTCGACGTCGTCGGCAGAGTACCCTCCCGAAAACCGTTATTCCCTCTCGATTGTCGCTAAATCGACGATGAATAGATCAATCGGGTGCCGCGACCTCTTGCCAGACAGCGAGAGGATCAGAACCAGAAGGATCAGATCACAATTAGGTGATGTAAACACACGGACTTCATCGCGCGTCTGATTGTGAGAAAGCGGTACCGCGCTAGCCCACCTGGTCCTCATTTTCGACGTTGTCGCTGGCGATCAGCGACAAGATCAATTTCAGCTCCTGTACGAAACAATTATTTCCTAAGTTCCATGATATTGCTGCTAAGTGTAGAGAGGCGCCCCCGCTGGCTTGCTTGCTCGCTTACTTGCCCCTTGGTCCGCCGAATTGACGAAGTGCAGGCGTCAGAATCTTCAGCTTGCTCGACCGTTCGCTCATTGCTCATTGCCCGTCCGGAGACTACGATGGTAGCTCCTCTGAACAAGAACATGCGTGTGCGTTTGAACGGGGAACGATGCGCCGGTAAAGAACGAGCATCGACCGACCGGCCAGTCGGCCGGACGCCGCGTCGCTGCTAGTGATCTGGACCTCGATGACCTCAGAAATTACCACTGACCCCGTAGTTCGGCTGCAGGCGTTGCGTTCAAGTACCTCACGGCAACTCCGCCGATTCTCTTTCGCGGGACACTAGAGAATTGATTTGGGCAGAGGAACTTGGAGACAAGCTTTGCGTCGTTGAAAAAATACTGAGCTCTGATTTTTATTAAATGGCAGTAAGTTGGAATCAGCCAGGAGTTGCGTTGCGGGTAGATGGTTCCCTTCGGGGTCCCTGGCGTTCTTTCTTCAGATTCCTTCCCCGTCGCTTAGCAGTTCTAGGTCGATCCGACGAGCTGCCAAGGACGGCCCCGCTTCCGAACGGGAGCAAAGTCTGGACTGCCAGACTAGAAGTTCCGATCCAGACGAATGCTGGCAAATGAAACGAAGAGAGGGTGACGCCGGCGCCGTCCTGCAGTCCAACACGTTTATGCAGATTAGGGCAAGATAAGCAATGTCGGTTCCTCCGCATGAATCCGCGCGACCATCGACTACCAGGCGGGTAGCTCTGCGAATTGATTATTATAAAACGCGAATGAACATTCCCTACCGATCCTTCAGAGCAACTGAAGGGCTGACAAGGAACCCACACCCCTCCGACACGAACATCGTCGGAACAATTGTGTAGCTGAGGCTTGTACGGGATTTTGCATCCGACTGGTAGGGAGCCGAAAATCCCGAATGCAGGAATGAGAGGGCATGGACCCCGAGGGCGTCAGTACGATCCAGTTCCGCTTCTGAACCAGAGACTGCAGATGAGAGAACTTCTTCCTCGAGCAGCCCGCGGAAATCCATGCAAAGCTCGCGAAATGGTGGACCGAATTTTTTTCGGGAGCCGCAACGGTGGCCGAAGCTTCCCACGATGAAATTTGGATCTCCACCCACGACTTGATCGTGGCGCGGAGTCCGCTATTTCGTCTCGACGGTGGTCCAAGAGCGGTACCGAGCTGGACTGATGCGAAAAGAGCAACAAAGCTCTGCGTCGGACATTCAGTTCTCCGGGCGGATGAGTTTTAGCGAAGTTTACGGCTATTTCATTTAACTGCGTCTCGAACAACCATGGCAAAGAAGCGCAGTACTCGTTGACGACTACCGAATACACCAAACGAGCGAAACAATAGGCGAAATTCGCCGTTGGAATCCAGTACTTCGACCGGCCGACCGACGGGCCGCTTCCGTTTTCACTGGGTCACCAGAGCTGCCGTTATGAGTGCGCAAGAAAAACAATAAGTTGGAACAAAAGCTCTTGTGTTCTTCTGAGGAGAACTTCGTGAGATCAAGCATGCCCGGGCTTGGAAGAGCTCAGCGAGAGCCCCGAATGTCTCACTACCGCTAATTGTCGCTCGAGTGCCACCTCAAGCAATATTGGCTCCGAAGCAAGTCAGGGATAAGTCTAAAGCGAACTTACTTTCTCGAAAATAATTGGTTTTGCGTACGAAAACGCAGACTAGAGCCATCAGCTGTAACTGAGATAGTCGTTGCCGCGTCGACGACGGCAAGGGGAGCAGATCCCTGAGGTTGGCTATCTCTGCATTGATGAGATCACGGCGGAGTTTCGACGCTCCCTTCGTAGATTTGTTGGCTTCGAAGCTGGAAAGGAGAGAAGACACATTTAGTTGTAGTTCAATTCTGGACGAGGGTCTTGCGCTCTGCTCCAACAAGAAGAATCGATTTCCGTTGACTTCTGAGCACGGCCCCGAGTTTGACCCACGGAATATGCCAAAGATCCAGCTCTAATAGCGCCTCAATGGTCCGTCGAGAATGTGGCACCACCAAAACATGTGTACTATTAAGCACCATCAATATTGACCGAATGCGATAATGCAGACAAGACGTAAGGTTCTTCCCTCCGCAGCATCTCGCCCGAAGCCCATCTTAATGATGCGCGAGCAGCACCCGCGTCCGGCTGATGGAGTCTCGCTGAAGGAACCAATGAATGGAGCTTCAGCACCAAAAATGAAGTCTCAACGACTTCATCGGGTTGCTTTCAGCGAGAAGGAGCTTTTTAGAAGCATCACCGCAATTTCCCCCGACTAATAGCGAATTGTTTATTCGAAATGTTAATCATACTCCACAACAATCAGCATTCGCTCTCGCGCGAAACATCCGCCACGCCGCGGTGTGACTCAGATAGTGTGGTTCGTTCGTCAGAAAATGTTCGTCTATACCGATCCGTTCAGTTGTCCAAACCTCGACGCATGCTTTTGGCAGGCTGGAACGGTGCAGACTGACTGGTCCATCCGTCTGTCCGTCCGCCACTCGTTCGGCCGGCCGGGTTTATCTAAACAACCGGCAAGCAGAAGACGACGACGGCGGCGGCGGCATCGGCAGCGAAGAAGAACAAGATGAAGAAAACGATGCAGCAGAATGGTCGTCCGACAGGCGAGCGAGCGAGCAGTATTTCACACGGGCCGTTGGCTCCAATAGCAAGAGCCCGCCTCTGTGATAATTTTATGTAAGACTCGCTGCTCCGGCCAAAGAAAGCGGGTAAAGCAGACCAACGAGAGAGCTCAGTCGCTCCAATCCTGTTCGATGTTCGCCGCGGTCATTGAAATACTCCGCTCGGAGTTTTTCGAGCGGAAACCCGAGGACGGGCGGGACGGGAAACTCGACATGAATAATCGACGTTCCAGTTGACTCTGTCCTGGCCGCATACGACGATTTTCTCTGCTTTCCCTTGCGTTGTGTGGGCAGCCACTCCTCTTCGAACGTTTGGCCTTGAGCTTGCGAGTCTCGAAAAATGCTCGCTGAACGGCGAGATTCAACCGTCTTCGACTCTTCTCCGAACGGGATCTCGTTAGCTCGTTCGACGGCTTGGCCAACTCATATCGTCCTGGGTACGCTCCATTCAGAAACGTTCGCCCGTTTTCCACGCAACCGTCGGATGCCTCCGCCAACTCTTCATTTTCCCTCAGCTCCTGCAATGGAATGATCGACCGCTTCGACACGACGTCGCGCTCTTGCGACTAAATCGATGAGTTCGCTCTGCCTTTGGGGATTTTTTCTTTGCCGACGTCATCGTTCTCCCCGTTTCGATTTCCCCTATCGGGTTTTCCCGGCGTTTTTTGTCCTCTCTCTCTCTCTCGGAGCGTTTGATTCAACTCTATCATGGAGCGGACGCCTACGCGCTCAACACGGAGACGCGATACACCGGTATCCTCTTTATTATGAGCGATTCACCTACAAGTAAGCGATTCGATTTCCTTTTTCCCGGCATTTCGATAGAGTTCATTCACCCGCTCGCTAGAGGGCCTCTCTCGACAGCGTATTCATCTAACTAATTTTGAATGTCCCGAATGCGACTAATCGAGGTCGTAATGAAGCCTCAGATTTCCTTCTCCTCCCGCTCGCAGTATGATTGCTCTACCGTCGGAGCGGCGATCACGGCCCGTCGTTGGGTCGCCGCGTTTCTCGGGGTTCCCGAGTACCCTAGGTGTAAGTATACGCTCGCGCTAAGACACTAGAGCGAGCGACCAGAGGCAAGCAATTCAGCCTCGGCTTGCTCGCCAGCCACCTTACTGGCCGCCAGGTCACAGGTCAGCGGGCACCGGAGCAGCGGGCGATCCTATGGCCAACGTACATCGCGCAGACAGCGTGGTGATATATTAAAATTTTTTTGAAAATTCTCAGCGAGGGCCAAACAGAACGCAGTGACAGCGGCGGATACGGCAGCGACTGGTCGGCAACGGCGGCGGCGATCTCGATTCTTCGTCGTTATCGAACGCATTGAGTGGAAGTCAGTCGCCGTTCATCGTTATTGATCACTATCGCTCGCACAGCCAGCAAAAACATAGCAACGCCGCGGCGGCCGTTACCGGACTCTCGCTCGGGAGGATCTTCGTCTTAGACTTATAAATTTTTTTCGAGTTGTCATTCTGATCGTTCTACTCTAGCAACTCTTCTCGATTTATTGATCACTCGTCGTCGACGTTTCCGATGCTGTCGTCCATCTGCTCCATCGCCGCGCACGCGTCTTTGACGCTGTCGTCGACGTCGCTCTATGGTCGCGGTCGTCGGAACACTCCGCCATTAGGACGACAGACGAGAGTTCCAGCGTCGAACAGTTGAGCTTCTCCACTTTCCAGGGGCTGCCTGTCCAGAAAAATTCACTTTCCTTGGAAATTGACTGCGCGAAAATCGCATAGCGAGACTCGCTGAAATCGGGATGGAATCCCGCAGGATTTGAGCGTGAAATCGAGCGAGCTGACGCTGAGTCTGCTGCCACTGCTCGTCTGGAGTTTTTTCTCCGCTCACCGCCTACCGATACCAGCGACACCCCAATATTCCTTCCGATCCGTCCCATTCCAGCTGCAGCCAGACGAATCCGATGGTTCGCTTACGTAAGCTTCCGGCACGATCGCATCGAAAGGCTCCCATCTTTCGCGGTAGTGCACCAATTTCTAGAGGTCATTCGACTGACTGCCGCATCAGTTCGCCCGGCTGATGCAGCTAATTGGGCCGAAATGAGCATTTCGGTGGAGGCACGATTTTTACGCCGTGTGAGGTAGCTGGCATCGCGGACCGCAAACTTCAGACTGCCTCAGCCGCGGAACTGATGTTTCCGTTCTAATGACTGCTTTAATCAAATCTCTGTCGGGGAAAAAGACAAATGTGCTGCCATCTCCCCTCCCGAACTCGGACTGAGAACGTGCCGGGGCCAATGAGAAGTGTTGCTTACAGATCTCCGTAATTTCGTCGATATCACTGAGTTGGGGCAACGCAGCAGCAGCCGCAGCGTCTCACTTTGCCATATGCGGAGAATGTGGAAGATCGCCGAGACTTGACGATGATCGGCTGCTTTGAGAATCTTGTGTTTGCAGCAATTACGGAGGCTATCATTGCAAATCGTACGCGTGGACTCTTTTTTTCGTTAGGCGACCCATCCTTCCGAGCGGTCGCTTCGTCTTCTACGATTCGTCGTGATTTCGATATCTTTCGACCGATCCGGCAATCGGAACGGAGAGAAAAATTCTGTTTGAGGTGTTAACTAAATCAAACCGGCTTACGACTACGACCTGATGCCTCGTTGTCCGCGCGCCTCAAAAACGCTCGATAGCAGCGCGAGATAAGGAACTCCCGGAGGGAGAACGGCAGCATCGGCTATAACACTTACTACAGCATTTCGACTCGCTTCTTAGAAGCTCAAATCCCCCAATCGTCGTCATCAGCGACGTCATCGTGACGATCCGAGAAGTGTTTTGAATTCGGAATCATTTGAAGCTTGTCTTCTCTTCGGTTTTTTTTGCCGCCGTTAACTGCGCTCTATCAAAGCTCTGAGCAAATCAACGATTCGGAATTCGATTTGGAGGAAACGCGTAAAAGGGAACGCTCCGTGAGATCCTCTTAAACTGAATCCCGTCATCGAAACTGCAATGACCACCGAATGATCCTTTCCGCTTGGTTTTCGCTCCTAGCCGAGGGTTGCGAGAGCTCGTGAAATAAAGTACATCATACGACGTCGACGGCGCCACCAGCGGCGCACTAGAAATCGAAGTCATGTAGAGAAGTCTGACGACCGGGTGATTCCGAATGGGAGAATAACAATGGCAACCTTGAGTTTCGGGAAGACCGAAAGATGAGAAACTTTTCCCGATGACGAGGAAGTTGCGGAATTTCGTTTCGGCGCTCCTTCGCAGATCTCTGCGAAAATCGAGGCTCGAAATTTATGCTCTGCAGAATTGAATCAAAGTCAGATGTACCGTTCGGAATTTCGAGGGAAAACTGCGAAAAAACTTCTTCCCAGGGTTTTTTAGAATTTTTTATTCCTTCTACCGCTCGGCTCTTTCATTGGGCGGATCACAAAAAGACGCATCAGGTTTTCCGCCTGGCTGCCTCCGAGTCATGCAGATCCCGTTGATTCGGCCCCTCAAGTTGAGCGCACATGAACCGACGGAAGGATCGACGGCAAACAGGCACATTGATGGCGGACCGACTGACTGTCTGAGTGACTGACTGACTGAGTGTCTGACAGTCCGTCCGTCCGCCAGTTCATTTCTTCATTCATTTACGCGCCATATGCCGAAAGTGATATTTCAATTCTCCGCTAACTAAAGCGAAAACACATCTACATCCGACCATTACACTTCAGTCCATGTGCGCCGAAACTCGAGCGATCGATTTATTAGCTAACGGATCTGTCACGAAAGGCTTGAGGCATCTGGGCCTAGCACAATTCAGACCCGGCTACATATCTCACAGCCATGAGCGGAAATTTGCTCAGAAATGTCCCGTCAGGGATGATCCGATACATCCGTCAGCAGGCATCTTCGAATACTTCATCTCACACGCGGAAGTTCCGCATCGGGACTCCAAAACGGAGCGGATCACATCATAAGATCTCCCCTCTCCAATGAGATACTCCACTTGCGCAAAACTCGAGCCGATAGGTTTCGCTGTCAAATCCGCTCCTGGGAAACAGAGCAGTGCATGAGTTCGGCGTCGCTTCGGCGCCAACTCTGCCGGCTAGTATCGGAGGGGCTTTGACCTCGGAACAATATGCGCAATTGTCTTCAGCATACACCCGATGCCGAAGTACGGAGAAACGCTTTTGTAACAGGGCCCTTCTGGCCAATGCTGTGGTCGATCGTTGCGCGTGACCACTGGGCTTGGGCCCAGGAGCCCTGAATCCCAAGAATAATTTCAAGCACAAGATGGAGTGTGGATCCGGCCCGGTGATCCGGAGTTTTCCCCCACGCTGGCGCTTCCTCACGGCTCCGCCGGGGAATTCCGACCCAGAATTCATCTATTGGTGAAACTGGTCCAGTTCCGACCTAGCGCTCAGATCGTGATGCTCTGCGACATTCGGGGAACACCAAGTTCATGGCGGTCGTCAGCGAATTCTTTCAAACTGTGGTTGCGATATTTTGTTGATACTTTTTTCATCTTCCAGGGAAAACACGCCATGCCTGAACGATGCCGATGACAACGACCGTCGATGATGTTGAGAAAACTAAACGCCGAACACAAACGTGTGGGAGTCGAGTGCACTGGCGGAGGGTGCCTTTGCACTCCTCAACAAAATATCACGACTTCGTGAGCAACGCTCCGGTGTTTGCAACACGGTCCCAAATGTGGCCCGATACTGAGGTAGGGATAGAGGGAAAGAAATTCGTACCGCGAACAGTCGTCATAACAAACTTTCTTTTCTCCCGACTGAGACTTTCGAGTGATTTTCAGTTTTAAGCGGAGCGTCGCCATTCCGCTCCAGACGATACCGAGGCATGTTCATTTCTAGCGTGTGGAACCTGGATTTCCGAAAAGAAAATCTCTCCCCGAGCTCATGCGGCTCAGTGCTCTGATTCGGGAAGCAGTGCCGTGGGTCTTCGACCCCTCCGAAGCCTCGATTGAGATCCGGAGAGATTGAAGGTTCGAATTCGATCATATATTATGCGGCGGACCAGATCGGGATCTTCGCTGCCGATCCTTGCAGGTATGCATAATGTATTCTGGTTTTGTTCCGACTTATCCTATGTAGTTCCACGACTGCTTCTGTTGTTATTATGGCTGCTCTTATGCCGTCTATGGATATTCCAATCGTGGTCGAACGACCTGCCAAACGAACGAGATGCAGACATGTAAATCAAGCGAACTCTGAATCCTCCAGCTGTGAGGGCTGCCACCGTAATCATTTGGTCTGTTTTCCGCATCTCGACGGTGGCTCGAGTCCGTCCCGATCGAAGAAAGCAACATCCGAATCGATTGGCCGTAAATCACACAATGTTTTTCGCTATTCCGTAATCATCGCGCTAATCCTTGACGACATAGACAGCAGTTGGAGAAGTCGGTCCATCGGTCCCCGATACGATCTCGCTGCTCATCAGGCATTTGTGTCGGTGCACGACCGCTTTGCAAGTTACACGGAATAATACTGAACTCCTGTTGTTTTCGAGCATGGCACCGCTTTCGATATGAATATCACTCCGAGTTCGCCAAACTGTAGCGAAGTCAAGGGCATCAGCCCTACCAGTGCTCCCATTGCCCGGGAAGGCCATGAGGGCGTCCCGCATCAGGAGCATTCTGTGTATTGTAATGCTCTTCTGTCGGATGAAATATTTCCTTTGTGATTTCGCCTGCCGTTCCGCAGGTCCAGCCGCGCGGAATCGTCTCAGAAAGCGACTTCGATGATCGAACTTCCAACTCGAACACTTCCAGCTCTTCGGATCCGCTCATCGGAGAGCGTAAGCGCACGGATAACCCTTCCTATTCGCCCGGTCTAGGATGATCGAGGGAGGTGATGAGCAGAAAGACTGACTGAGTGAGAGTTTCACTGACCGAGCGACAATGAATAATAGTCTGGTCAACGCTTTGATGTGAGATGCGCTCGGTCCATCCGCCCCCGACGGAGGCGCCGTGAAGACTCCCAACTGATGCTCTTCATCTCTTCGAAGTAAGAACTTGAGCTGAGAAGATGATACAGAAGATGCAGAAAATGGCGGAGGAGTGTCCCTCCTTCCTTCGACGGTTGACACTAAAGTAATAACTGGCCGGCCGGTCGGTCGGTCGAGCAGTCGCTTCATCCGACACCAACAACACAATACCCAAGATCTGGCCGAGACACCACTCAGTCCATACGAACGAGCGGCCGGTCGGCGGGCCGGCCGGCCGAACGACAATCGAAGAAATGAATGTACGGAACACAGCCAGCATGAACGCAGTGAGTCTCTGACGCAATTACGCCGCTTGAAATTGCACCTGAACTCCACTGATAGATCGCTTCGCCTGCCGTGGCTCTGATCGGAGGGCGTCGCGAATCAGAATGCAGCTAAATTCTCCCGGACTCCGAAACGACGTCGAGAGGAAACTAACTCCTTGCGACGATGATCCGACGGAGTTAAGGACGGGAGGTGGCTGAAACCGGCTACAACCGACCGACCGACTGCCGATCCGAGAACGGCTCCGCAACCTAAGGACGAAGATCCGGCGATCTACAGACTCACGTCGTCGCTCAGTGACTGTTATCCCCTGAGCGTCCTGCTCCCCCGCAGTGAGGAGCTCAGATATTCACCATGAGGGAGCCGCGGTACCTCGTCCGTTGAACAACACGGTAATTGCTCGCATCAGTTGTTCCTGCGTCTCTCGTTCAGGTAATCGAAGCACAAAAGCTGAAGATTCGCGGATCTTGCTTATCAACATTGTCAATTAGGCGGTCATAAGTGCTATCTCGAATCGACGTTTATCTGCTTCAATCGGCGTACGATTCACTTCATCGAGTAGAAGAGGCGACCCGAGATCGATTCATAGCTCGACGATTATAATCGTTCCCTGCTCCGGCTGAAATCAACGCCATGTGAATCGCCGTGGTGATTCGAGTCGGCGACAGAAGACGTCGGATCTTTACTCCTCAAGACTCGTGGCGAAGCTGGTGGACCGAATGTTCTCGAGTAAGGATCATGCGGGACTCCAGCGATTCCCGGGAAGAGTTCCCCGCAAGGAGGCAAATGTCATTTTCCAGTCGGTTCACCGAGGGGGAGGCAGACGGACGGATAACCTCAGATGGGAACAGGGAGGTTCTCGGGATGTCTGGCAATCAGAGCAACTGTTCTTTCTTCGATTGAAACTCGATTAAAATTTCGGTAAGTGCCAAAATGACGTCGCCGTCGTTTAGGTGCCGCCGATTTTTCTCTTCGGGGCTCTCGGCTTCGCTCTCCCGTAGGACGCGGATATCCAAAAGAGATGTCGTTCAGTTTTCTTCAAAAAAGCGGCGCGCAGTGTCAACACGGTCTCACTTCAGTGAGTCTTCGGCGAAGTGGAGCGAATCCCTAAGAAATACGAAGGGAAAGCATTGCTCTCTATTTTCTCTGCTCTAACAAGAACAACAGCGGAGCGGCGGCATCTGTAGAGACGAGTCTCCCGGACCTTGGACAACGTGGGAAAAAATCTCAGACAAAAAACACATCGCCACCGATGAAGAAATCAAGATGAGACGACGTCCCATCACAGGTCACATTCATCTGAACAACAAGCGATAGACAACACGCTTCACCTGGAGCGACGAATTTCAGGTAAGGCGCTCTTTTTCTGATGTGAAACTCAACTCCGCAGACCACAATTTGAGAAAGAGCTCGATTGTATGGCAAGATGCGGGGGGTGCGCGAAGCCTCGGTTGAGTCGGAATCTCATGTCTCGGTGGAACACCTCTGACTGAGCGATCCTCGAAAAATGCTGAAGAGATGCCCGAGTGGAGCGAATAACACTGAGCGGCTACTCCGCATCTCGGAGCGTCAACAAACAGCCACAAACGTCATCGCGGATGACTGAACGACAATAGCCGCAGGAGGAGCGGAGGGTGTCTCTTGGTCCGTCGACGAGTGATGAAATTCAGGAATTCTGACTCCCACACCTATCACTTCAGCGCGACGACGCACCCATGACTGGGGCGACGTTTCGTCTCGATACTTCTGCCCTGACCCGATCGTCAGAACCGCTATCAATTCTGGACCAGTACCGCTCGACGACTGAACTCCTGAATCGTTTTCCTATCCTGACGCACGAGACTCATCCCCTACGGAGCAACGACTCCCGCTCTCGATCCTTTGACTCTTGGCTGCTCTTCGACGGCTCGAACAGAGCTCCATGTTTTTTGACCAAGAACCCGCATCCGGATTCTCTATGGAAACTTAAGTCTCCTGCGACTTGAACCCCAGACTCACTCAGACCACAGTCCGAGAACGCGGCGCGACGATCTACGAGAACTTACTTGCACATCTGTATGATGTTCTGGTTCGACCCGCCGGGTGGCGAAGCCGCAGCCAGCATCTGTGACATCATTCTGCCAGCGATTATTCAATTTTCCACATACAATTGAATCGCTTCGTCGACACTTTTCCTCCGAAAATTTTCAGTAGATCTTCCGAACCAATCAGAAGACTGATCGGCTCATGAAGAAGCACCTCTACGGAACGTCGCAGCTCGCGCTGAATTCGTCGTGCACTCTTTGGCGATGAGTTCGCCTGGTATCCTTAGTAGTCCGAGTTTTTGTGAAGTTCCTGGCAATCGATACTTCACACACTAAACGAAGCAGAACACAACTAGTGGGAGTCTCCGAAAACTGTAAGGTATCGAACTGAAAGCGCGCACATCGTTGCTCAGATAGCCAGAAAGATTTTTTGAAGCGGGCTCACGTCGCGTCGGTCGTTCGCTCTACGGCGGCTGGCGACGTTCTGTTTGCTTCACCAGACGGATCCGCCGGTGAAGTGCCGCCGCATGGTGGGCGGGCCATGGGGCGGGCTCTGGAACTGAAGTTGCCGTTCCATTGGTAGATGTCTGGTGTCTGGCGACCAATTAGTGAATGATTGTAAGTGAAAGAAGGAGGGAGGCGACTAAACTCAATGGTAGTGTCGTTCTTTTCGTTGCTCCCGCTGGTAACGTTGATGATGGTATCCGCCGCTACCGCCAGCGTATCGCCACCATCGTTGTTGTTGTCGCCGCCGCCGCCTCCCTTGCGACTGGTGGTTGTGGCGCTGTTGCCACCGCTGCTCCTGTCGCTGATGCGGTAGTGTTGCCGGTTTTGTTTTTCCACGCTGACGGCTCGCCGGTGGAAAAGATCTTCGGAGCGGCTACCGTCGCCACCTGGAGGGGGTCTAGCTCCATCATCCGGCAGCCAATATCAGTATGCAGTGATCTTCTACCCATCATTTCTGAAAAACGTGCGACTGTCGTTGCTTGACGGCTTGTCGGTGGGTGGGTCGGTCTGTCGGTCGGTCAGCCGAGTGTTTGGGCGGGCGGAAAGGTTGATTTGGTTGAATCCCTGGTCAACAGGACTAACTCGCTCGCTCGGAACGGAAAATCGCCTTACCGAGCTGGGCGATGACTCCGTACACGACGCCGTCGGGTGCAGTATCCGGAGCGCCACGATCGGTGTTGCTCTCCCGGGTTTTATGGACGGGTACCTGAGAAGAAGACTCCTGAGAATGTGACTACATCCTCGTTCTCCCTGATCGCGCTCATTCGCCTAGTCTGGAAATTTATCGGAGGGGTCTCCGATCCCTCCGAACGCTGCGCGTCAACCGCCTGGAGCTCGGGATCCGATGTCGTCGGCTTATCCAAAGCGGAACAATCCGATTCTTGAAGCCCATTCACGGAACGGTCCATTCATCCCGTGAGGACGAAGCACCCCGAGCATCATTCCGCCGGGGCGTAAGAGGCGACTCCACGCTAATTAAAGACTTCACAAAATACTTGTCAGCGCATCGCGTGCTTCTCCCGCGATGTGTGATATCCGAAGCTCTCTAATACCCGGAGAGCGATAATCACCGCGCGGCTTCTTCTCGGATGAGCGGATCTCTTCGATACCGACTTCGCCGAGGTCGTGGAGCTGGAGAGGAAGCGCTGGAAGGGGTCATGTCATTCCCCTTCGCTGTGTTCCATTCGAGAACTAGATGGAGTAATCTGAAATTATTCAGGCCCGCAAGGGATGGACGCTCGAGGACGCAGCCCGGAGCACTCATCGGAAAAGAGGGAAATATAGACTGTCGGAGAAAACGGATGAAGCATAAGCAGGCACCGATCGATGGAGAAGTTCATCGTACGTAGGGCGTAATTATCGGCATTGCCGTTTTTCCGCGGCCGTTGCGTGGTCCTCATCGACAACGCCATCGTCATATGTCGTTAATTCAGAGATACATCGTTCTATAATAAGAGTCATTATGAAGGAAAAAGGAACGAAGAGAGAAACTATGGGAGGCCATTGACGACGACGTCGACGACGGCAGCGGCGGCGATGCAACTGTGAACGGACGGAGGCTGACGAGCGAGCAAGAACTTCTGATTCGATTCGAAGATAAACGATCGAGACCAATCGATGTTTCCCATCTAGACTGAAGCGACTCGTGTTGTTAGTGTACCGATGACGAACAGCATGATCATCGTTCCTTAGTGCAAGAGCTGCCTATCAATCAACGAGTGTGCTCAAATAATGTCGCGAGAAGCTTCCACGGATCGTTCAGAGACTAACTAGCGAAATTCGTGGCAAGCGATACGCATCTAACCGCTAATGCCGCGAGGGATCGATGAGCTCAATAATCTATCCCCGTTCAAGAGCCAGGAGCGAGAATTGCAGAGGAGGACAAGATTCGAGCCGTTGAACGGAGACCCGACCGAGAGGAACCAGGAATCAAGGCGACTTGATTTGACTGAACTCGCCGAGCGGCCAATACAGCTGATCGCCCTCAGGTTCCCGGCCTTTTCCAGGTGTCCCTCTACCTGATCCGATCGACTGTGGGGAAATGCGAGGATCGGGCTCATGGATGGAGAAGAGGTGAACAATCGAACCCGGTACGACGTCCCACTCGACGTATCGCGGATCATTCGGGAAGACCCAAGTCTACACAACGTTAAGATGAAGTGTAAAGTCAAGGGAGCACGAGCCGTCGAAGTTTGAACAACGCTACCAGCTGCTTGACAGCTCAATCTGTTGCTTTGAAAATGAAGTGTGCAGACAAGCAGCCAATGAGCACCAACGGACGGAACGGACGATCGAGTGAGCGAGCCAGCGTAGGTACAGACGGATGGAAGGACCGGCCGAAGCTGATGAGTGAAGTCTTTGCACAACACCTCCCGACCAAAGCTCCTCTAGCTGCTAGGGCAGCGGAATATCCGCGGAATACCTACGCGTCAAAATTCGCAGAAAACTTGTAGCCTTGCTTCGCTTTCGACAGCTTCGTATGTCCGCTACTAGACCTGGATCAGTCAGTCAGTCAGTCGGTCAGCCGGCTAGCCGGCTAGCCAGTCAGTCAGTCAGCCAGTCGGCCAGTCAATCAACTCGCTTTAGCCAAATGTCACATCCACAATGAGATCCACAATGGCGGCTGAAAACAAAGCTGCCGATTGCTCTGACTCTGATCCGTTATTTCCCGCCGGTCGTCCATCCATCGGAGCTGCTGCTGCTGCTGGACAGAAGCGGTCGACCTCCGCCCATTTTTTGCTGTTGAATTTAATTAAACCTTACGCCGGCGTCTTCTAGTGGGTTGGCAGGACGTCCAGCCGGATGGTTTGCTTTGCTCGCTTGGCAAGGCAGTGTTCTTCTTTATTTCGTTTGCGTTCGGGAACGCATCCGGGTCGGACAGTCGATGCGGACGAATCGAGTCACGAGTCGCCATCGCTCCTGAAGATAATCTTCGCTGTGTTCTCGCTCATTTCAGCCATTCGAGGTGGTGCTAGCGGCAGCAGCAGTGGCGTCGTCGGTAGTACTATCGCCACCGTTTTCGGGGACGCACTCGCAGTCCATGATTACGCTCGCTCGATCGGTTTATTCATCTCGCTATCCGGCTTTCGAACAATAGACCTGAAGTTCCCCGGACTCGAGCCCGTGGAACGTTTCCACTTCTCTTTGAATGCGCTTCCACACCGCTAAGTCAGAGAACGGAAGATCTCGAGGGCTCGAATCTTCTTCTCCGGGTATTTCAAGGTCACATTTTGAGGTGGGGAGCTTTGTGCTCTCCCGACGATCACGGGTCGGAGGGCGGGGATGAGCTTCCAAGCAGTCGGTAAATTATGTCGACTCTCCGAGAAGATGACTTCCTAACTGGAGCAAGGCTATGGTTCATTGGCGTAGAGGAGCGGCCTCCTGATCTGCCCGCAGTTGCAGGCCGAAATGGGGGAATCGTATTCGACTCGTTGAAACTGTCTCGAATTTCTTATCTTCGAGACAAGGGGAGATTTTCCTCAACATTCGTTCGGCAGAACTGTACGTTCATATCACCAAGAGCATTTTTCACTCAAATCGTTCATTGATTGGTGTTCGCGAGAAGATTGAGTCTCGAAGGAATCAGCTGAGAAGAACGTGCACACCGCTTCCAGAATCGGATACTCGCCAGCGACATCTGCGGCCGGCGTAAGGTCCTTCGTTACTTCCTCGGAACAACGGCAGCTGAACATCGAATTTGTTGCACGCTCATTAGTCTCAGTCAGTCAGGCAGTCAGTCAGTCGGTGGGTCGGCCGGTAGGAGCGACACGTCGCCTGTCTCAACCTGTTGGATGATTGTCTTGGTCCTCTGCGCAGTTTTCTTCTCTTGCAGGCAATGCTTCATCTTCGCAACATCCATCCAGCCTTCCTAAATTCCGTCCATTTTCCCGTGGGCGTAGCGCAGCACCTGTCCGAGCGTCGCTTGTCCGAACTTGGCTCCCTGTCTGCGACCAGTACCACCTGTCGTAGATCACGATTCCAAATGCGAGTCGAATCTTAATTGTAATCACAACAATCGCTGGAACAGAAGTACCAACGTCGCTGCCGCCGCCGGATAGCGTTGGTGGACTCGGCCGGATCTTAGAATCTCTCGGTCACGCTCGACGCCCCTGTTCCCCGAGAACGGTCCCGCTCTCTCGTATGTGAATCCAAGTCGGTCACCGTCGTCGAGAGCCTGTGTGCCCGAATGCTCACACTTGAATGATCCAGCTCAGGAGCGGATCCATCTGCGGATCAAATAGCTCCGCTTTGGCGAAAACGTTTAACCATCGGAACAATACAACACGCACCCGAATCGGTATTCAGAAAATTCCGACAAGGACGACTCGAGAGAAACAAACAGGTTGAACGATTAAAACCGCAATCGCAGCTTTATTGCACGTTGCTCATTTCAGAAACAAACTTCCCGACAACAATTATACTCGACCACTGTGTGTTTAGACGAAATTGCGAGGCTCGAAATGTGCGACTACAGAGTTAACTTTGAGAGTCATGACTCCGGCGCCGAACCACGTCGCGATCGATGTTACGAAGACGTCGACAGAAGACGCTTTCGAAGTCATCAGAATGACTGTTGTGCCGAAATTGATGAAATGGAGAAACAGAACGAGTAGGAAACCGCAGTTAGAGGTGATGCGGAGCGGCGTGAACGTCATCACGATCACTTCGCTGCACGTGAGCAGACAAATGACTGCAATAGACAAAGGAACGTAAGAGGGTCCGATTAGACTCCTAGAATTTCCGAGAGCGTCCTGAATCCGATGAGAAGCAATGGGTTCAAATCTCCTCCTTCCAGAGCTTTTTCGTGCCTACATCGATAGTACAATAATACTGGTAATGATACCCTCGCAAATATTTGGTTTGACAGAAATAGCCAATAAAATGAATGATAGGGGCTACGTACAGTCTGTCATGAATATGCAATACGTGTTGAAGATGGCCGACACCGCGGCTTCCACATAACCGAAGAGGGTTACAAATGCGAGAAGGAGCCAGCATGATCTGACCGGGGGATAACAGATCAGCAAACAATGTACACTCGGCATCAGCACGCTGAAATGTTATCGATGACATTATCGAACACGCTCGCTAGTGAATGGATGTCATTCGATGATATAATAGATTTTTCCGTCTTTCCTCCATCATTCGGGGCATGAGGTAGACTGAGTCGACGAATGGGATCTTACAAGGCGATGTAAGCGAGCTCACGATTAGCCACTACGAAATCTCGCACGACGTCAATGAAGAGCGCACCGGCGACGATTGATGTCAGAACTACCAGATGGAGCCACAGGATGTAGAAAAGAGTGCGCAGGACGAAGACGCGCATGAAACTCAGCATAGATTCTGGATGTTCATATTCTGTGGGAGTTTATTAAAGATTAGCTTCTCGCCCGAGGAGCGTAGGGCTGGACTGCTGGACGCCTTTGGGAGTCCCGAACGAACCTTCTATCTTGAGTATTTTCTGCTTGTCGTCTTCTCCTTTTCCGAAGTAAACTTGAGGGTTTTTAACGCTGAAACACACAATGAGATATTTTTGATGTCGTTGTCTCGAGCGCGAGAGCGGGCTCGATCTCCGGTGCATGAGAGATCGCTGACCCGATTGTGGCGCATAAAATTTTCCCTGTAAAATGATCCCGATCTTGGGAGCAACATGACATGGGAGATCAGTCCTAATTCGAACCAGAGGCCCCGATGAAGACAGTTTCGAACTCTAATCTATATCGATGACCCGAGAATCTGATTCTCCAACACTTTGCCCCGATATTCCTCGACTGAATATACGTTCATCATATACGGCCCCGTTCATCGGGATTACCGGATAATAATCGATTGATCCGCGCATTCGAGCCGGAATGCAAAACCAAGTTGCCCAGCTGGACTCGGTCCGCTCAATCGGACGCTCTGCTTATCCGGGTAAGGATGAGCCATTTCTGATGTGATCCCAATAAGCGGACTATACTGTATTGTACATCGAGTGGTATGAGAATGCTGAGATCTTTCTCGTTCACCAGCGGCTCGATCACGGGAGTGATTATGGTCTAGACAAGACCTGGAACGGTCCTCTCCGCCGAATAAAATACGGAGAAAACAATCCGAGAGACATTGTGCCTTAGGGAGCGCCTGGAGACGATTATCACCGCCTACGCAAACTACGAGATGGCGGGATGCCTCCGCGGAAAACGAGGCAATTCGAGAAGTCGATCTCCTCGATCCGGCACAATACCGCCGCTTGCGTACTCCGACGTAGATGCGGGGAAACTTACAGTTTCATATCAGCGGCCAGCAGTGTGCACGAGTCCTCCGAGCTCTTGCGCAGACTGCCGACGCTCCGCTCTCGGGATCCTTCCCGCCGCTACTCGTTTGGCACGAGGCCAAAATCTTCTCCCGAAGCGAAGGTCCCAACGATAGATTTGCACTGAGGCTGCCTGTGGCCCGCCGAGGGCTCGACCGGCAGCCGACACTCTTTGACATAGGATGTCCGAACGGACACTCCCAACTTCGCAATAACTCCCCTTGCTGCCTGGAGCGAGTACATGGTTGTCTACGCCGAGGTACTTCCCTGGACTAATCTCGTGCATTTTTTTACGCGGATACTTCGCAGCCATGAGCTCGTATAGGATCGAGCCCAGAATCGGATTGAATCATCGAGAACGATACAAATCCATTACTCGAACGGCAGCACCAGCAACAATTGATTCCACTCATCATACTGGCAAATGTAGTACAATGTCTGGGTCGGTCACGACAACAGAATGCAGTTCCCCGGCTGACAGCGTGAACCCTCGACCCTGAGGCGGCAGCCATGGCGGCTGCCGGACGAGCCGTGAATTGGTTTTATGTAGAAGTTGAAAAGCAACAGAAAGCGATCTGGAAATCGTGGCTACAGTAGCTGAAATCGGGGAGACGGAAAGCAAACGTATTGATTGATGAACGTGGCACTGCTTTTTCTTCCCGAATAACGAAAAGAACTGATTCGAGAAAAGCAAATCATCGGAACTGAATCGACATTCATACAGCGCGTCACTCCGACGAATACGAAGTTCTCGTCAAAGCGTTTTCGCTCGCCAAATTCGACCGGTGAAGTTTCGATCTCCGTCGATGCAGCCCTGGACTCGCTATCCCGACACCACCCGTTGGACGTCGCGTACCGATGCAGCGTGCGCTCCGGCTGGAACGAGCTCTCCGTAGAAAGAATGTAAAACTGATGATACCATCTCGTCCAACGAAGGTTCTGCGTTAAATGCCCACCGCTCGGGTCCGCAGAACTGGTCGCATAAGTTTTTTGTTGTTAATTTTGAAAGGGCCATTGTCCGAGAGGATCGGTCCATCAAGATCCGACAGAGCCGAGCAGCGACCAACCGAGCAGGCGGCCAGTCATCCAGTTGGCCAACCGCCCGCCCCTTGCCGAAACAATACCCAACCGAGACGGTCGCTCACCGAACGCGTAGATAAGCAGGACGATTTGTGGCCCGCTGAAAAACAGACAAGACGAGCGACCTCTTTTGAAGGCAAAAGGCATCGCCCTGTTCCGAGACGAGAAAATCCGTCGTCGACCACCGGACGAATTATCGGGAAGCATTCATGCGAGAACAAGCAATGAGAACGCGCTTCTGAAAAGAATATATATATTGCGGATCCAGAGTGTGCGGCTGCTCGCGCACTTTGATAGACTTCGAGAGGCTTCCATGCAGCATCCAATCGGCTTCAAACTCTGTCGAGCCGAGGTGTCTCACAGTAATTGACCACCGTTCTTAAGAGAAGCGTGAAAACCTACAGCTTCACCTCTTACCCTCAGCGTTCAGGAGAAAAAGAACAACCAAGCAACCGAGGTAAATAAGTGTTCTCAATGATCACTGTCGCCGTCGTGTTCCGCCCGAGATGGCCCCACATTTGACCGAAATCATCCGCTGATTCATTCGGCGACCGCCGCCGCTATCGATCTGCCTTTGCCACAAATTCGAACGCAGGTGCCCGATCATGAGCTATTACCGCAATTGAGAGAAAATAAAATGAAGTAAAACTCGAGCCGCGTCCCCCTTCCTGAACGTATCCCGTTCGAGCCCTCAATTTGTAATTTCGCCTCACGAAATTTCCGTCAACCAATTTTCGACTTTTTCTTTCTTCCCCTCCATGAATGGAGTTCCGAGCTCGATTCGTGCTCGTTTACCGCCACCGCGGATCGAAGAGTGCAATTACCATTTGGCTGAGCGGGGCCAGAGACTTTTCTTCTAGGGAGCTAGATGTGAACCAAATCCGTCCTGGGACTGCGATTCGGACCTTTCATAGCAAATCGCCCTAGCCCACCCAATTGTCTTTCCGAGGACTCGTTTTCAGAATGAGAATCCGCGACTTCAGAATGAACAGGAACGCTCCGGAACGTTTCTGACGACGACACGTCCGGACGGTCAGTCAGACATTGACCCTTTCCGAATGAATGACGGAGATCGTATCGGCGCATATACATTCATTCGTATGTATGTTTGAATCTTGGGTACGGTCTGCGAGGTATCAATTGCCGTTCCCGATAAGAAGAATTATTCCTGGCTTAAAAGAATGAGCGAAGGAAAACACAACAATGGATCAAAACACACGGAATCATTTTGGAAGCCGTGGACTCCTCCATCATTTGGCCGCACTACAATTCATGTAGTCGTGATGGATCGCGATCCAACTGAATGGCAGAGCGTTCGGGCGGGCGGACCGATGGACGGACGGACAGGCGAACGACAGTCGGCTCAAGTCCACTCGAGTTCAGAATTGATTGATGTCGCGTCAGGCGATTTTCAAAACATCAACAGTACGGGGTGAAGAAAGAAAACACGAGGAAGGCTGACTGCCGATGTTCATTGAGCTTACGGTGTTGGCGGCAGCGAATTCTCCAGGGCGTCGTAGAACGACAGCAAATGGGCCCCGAGATTCTAGCAGTCTGGTCGACCAAGCAACCGACGGACGGACGGACCGACCGACCGGTCATGCAGTCACGACCGTGGCACTGCGGACATCCGGGAGGTACTGAGAATCAAGGCGATCATCGCAGTGGGTACCTAAGCCTACTATGTAGGTACAAACAACATGTTTCTGCTCTCATCGACAAGAGGCCAACAACCGGGGGCAGCAGGTTAAGCTCAAACTGGGAGTGGTTGCGGGGGAGTCCCGTCTGGCTCATTCCGGCGCTTGTGGTGACGTCGGCGACAGCGATGACGATCTTGATGATGATACTATTACTCACTTGAGAGATTCGAGAGGGGCTTGGCGGAATTTTCTCTTCGAATCTCTTAACGGAATGCGCCAAGGGGAACAATTTAGGTGTTGCCCCGTCCGCGAGGCGGTCCAACAAGCGGCTCATGCACGGGAGTACAACCTTGAAAAGAGCCAATCGGGTCAAAGGTCTGACCCTTGATGGAGATTGTGGTCTAATCGACTCGAGGTCCGGGCGGAGCCCCAGTTCCGAATTTCATCGCTAATAACGACACCGCGAACGAGATTATCCGTGGTCTCGAGCCGCCATGGAGGCGGGGACCGTTGGGAGGATTTTCGCGCTTTGCGACATCCTGTGGACGGGGAAAAGCCTCGTTCATCAGAAAACTGATCCAACGTCCAGATTGTCAATGGAGATCCGATGAGAGCGTTGCTTGCGGTTGTTCATGTTGTCAATCAGACAGGAGCAGCTAGAGCAGACAGCGGTTCATGGAGACTCATTCGAAGCTTCATCGATTCCGACGCCGTCGTGTCAGTCAACCCGGATCCGCGGGACCTTGACCATCGCCATCGTCGGCGTCTTCTGGAGACGGTGACGACGAGGAGAAAAAATCACAAGATGAGACGCAAGCGACGATAGGCCCGCCTGTGTCGCCTCTGGGTGTGTCAACCACTCACAGATTATTGCCTCATTATCTAATACGATGTTATAAATATCTCCGCGTGTAATACGAGGAGCTCTCGTCCGCGGGAAATTGAAGCCGAAAGGGGAGATTTCTTTTTTTCAGGCCCCGCAACGAGCCTGCTCTACTCTGAGAAGTGCAGTCGATCGACATCGAGTGGATATTGGCTGTCAGAAGTTCAGGCCGTCAAACGGGGCGCGCCCGGAGGACGAATTGCGGAATCAGACTCCTCAGAAGACATCGCCTCAAGTTGATGAGGGTGCACCCTGGTCCCCCCGTCCCCACAAACACACAAGGGGAAGGCGTCGTGCCTCGCACAATCAGGGGAGAACTTCGCTAGGGGTCGCGTTCGGACCTCCCCCCCCCCCCTCTTTTCTTGTCGGACCAACAGTTCAGAACTCAGGAAAATTCCCGAGGGACTTCGCCCATTGAATTCGTACGTGACACGAGCGGTCCCAGCATTTCGAGATTCCGACGCGGTACGGCGAAGCTGATGGACCGGCGGAACCCATTCCAGGCGACGAGTGTTCGTTGAAACGAGGGTCTCCCCATGAAATAACGCCTCGGCGGCCACGCGATCGGAATCAGATGCAAAGCTTATTCTTTGAGAGGATCCATACGAGGTGGCTCGTTGTGAGAGGGTTCAACCGTGTTCCTGCAGTGCTCAGACAGCCAGGGAGGGGCACCTGTGAGCAAGCTCGGGACGTAACGTAGCCGACTCAGCGGTATACGCGGTTTGCGATTTCTTTGAGTAAAGTGATGACTCGTCGAGAGATATTGGTAAGGAAGAATCATGGTGCCCCATTCGTTTGATGCGATGCCATGCGACTCCCGGCGACGGCCACCGCCGCCGTCAGTCACTCAGTCAGTGAGCCCGCACGCCTGTCTGTCCGACGAACGAACTTACTGGCTGGCTGACTGACTGAGTCCGACCCACCGACGGACCGACTGTTCGGATGATGTCGTCGTCGTTGTATCTATTGATGGGATGCATGTCGTTATTCAATTCGTACAAACGCACTAAGTGATACCTCACCGCCTCCTGTTGATCCGATCCGCGATGCCCCCATACAGGTCGTGACTTCGGAGGTACCAAGGTCCGGCTCAACGGAGGGCGAACGTAACGACAGGTCATAGGTTTGTTGGGGATTACAAAATCCCCCGTTAGGCCTCTGCATGTGTGGGGGTGCATCAACGAAATTAGCAGGCGGGACACTCTGATTCTCTGTCGTACACGAGAAGTGATGAGGCTCGGCTCGTTCATCCGACAGCTTGACTGGGACAAAACCTCATCGAATGAACGCAAAGCTCGGAAGTCATTGACAAAGTAAGAGAATCACTGTTAGACTAATCCGGCTCTTGCCGCGCTCAGAACTCTTGATAGATGCAG